TTTATAAACATAAAAAAAAATCACTGACATTTGATCGATTGATTCAATTCAATGAAATCATCAAAATGTCATTGTTGTTGTTGTTGTTGTAAGCTTTCAATAGATGATTAAAAAAAAAAATTCGTATTCATTTGAGTAAACAAAAAAGAAAAAGAAAAAAAAGCAAGAAAAAACGCACTTACCATTCACGATTATTACTACCACTGTGTTGAATGAATTGAAATTGAATAAAAAAAAATGAAGAAAAGGCAAAACAAAAACAAAAACGGGTAATTTGTATTCGTTGTTTCATTCCATATATCTAGAAATCTTGAAATTCAATTTGTTCATGTTTCTTTCATTCATTCGATTCGATGATGATGATGATGATGATTGTATTCTTTGATTTTATTTTCATTGAATTCATTAGATACAATTTAATTATGTCAGAAAAAAAACACTGGAAATAAAGACGAGAAAAAAAAATAAAAATAAAATCCACACTTGGAAACATATATAAAAAAGTAATTTGATTTCACTAAAAGAAACAAAATTGACGATGATGATGATGATGAAATGAAATAAAATTTGATGGAAAAGAAAAACGAAAAAAAAAATTCTCGTTAAATAAAATGAATTTTGCTGCTGGATATATATATGTATATGCAATCCATAATCGATAATCATTATCATCATGGATGGCTGATGATGATGAAAAAGAAGAAAAAAAAACTGGACCATCATTATCATGTCCAAAATTTGTTGTTGTTGTTGTTGTTGCTGCTGCTGCTGCTGTTAATGTACCGGCAATGACAAGAAAAATGATTGAATGAAAAATTCAATACTATGCACTGTGTGTGTGTGTGGGTGGGTGGGTGTTTTATATTATTTAGAACACCTACACACACCCCCACACACACACATGTACCAAATGCTTGTGGTCATCATCACCATTATTATGTTGTTGTCATCGACGATTGAATAGAAAATGAATCAAAAGAAAAAAATCATTGCACTGATAATAAAAACGATATTATCATGTATCAACATCATATAAAGAATTCACATCAACAGAATGATGATGATTGATTCAATGTAAGAATTGCTGTTGAATGTTGGAACTTTTTTTTTTTTTTGATTCGAGAATTTGATTTTGAAATTCAAAAAAATCGATAGATGAATATTTCGTAATTTTTTCTTTTTTCTTTTTGTGATTTTCGTTCGTTCGTTCAGTAGCATTATTCGTGATCATTTCATTTCATTCTCCAAAACATGTATTGATCATTATCAAAAATTCTGATTTCACGAATCAATGAGAAATAGATGGAAAAAAAGAGATATGCTTATCACATAATCGGATTCAATGATGATAGTGGTGGTGGTGGTGGTGGTGATGTTGGTGGGGGCGTTTCCCACTAATGATTACAAGAATAAAATTTGCTTTCGGCTTCTGTTGCCATTGCTAGTAATGATGATGTGATGTGATGTGATGTTAGATGACATCGGACAAAAATATTTCAGAAAAAAAACGAATGATAATAATGATGATGATGATGATGATGATTATGATAAGCTGACACAATGTTGACAATATTTTTCCAATTTGAATATGTGAATGTATAGAAGCAAATTGAAGAGAAAAAAAAATTACCATTCCAGTTGTTATATTTGTTGCAAACACCATATGAAGGTTGTTATTTTCGTATATAAATTGTCTAGAAAAAAAAATATACAAAAATCGTTTATAGAATAATAATGATGATGATGAGGATGAAAGCGGTCTTTATATGCATGTGTATGGTGAATATGCAAATGAGAATTTATCAACAGAAGATGAAATCTGGTAATGATTTGTAATTGTGATTGAATAATCAAAAATACAATGAAAATGAAACAAATGATGATTTTATCATTGTCGTTTTGTTGGTTGGTTGATCTGCTTTGTTTGATAATGATTGCTGATGATCACTGATGGTGGTGGTGATGGTGATGGTGATGGTGATGATGATAATGACAACGATTATAAATAATGAAAGAAAGAAAAGGAAATCCAATATATATCAATTTATTCTTCTTTTGTCGATTGATCATCATCATACACAAAAAGAATTGGAAAAAATCGAACGAAAAAAAGAATGACTAAAATATATTGGTATATTCGATGATGGACGAAATAATCGATAGTCTATTATATTCTTGAATTCTGTCATCATGGTATTTTTTTTTGTATTAATCAGAATCAATAATTTAGAATTTACTAATAATTGTTATTACATTGTTGTTGTTGTTGACACAAAAATGAATCGATAAAAAAAAAATTTTGTCATTCCATCAAAGCAAAGCAAATATTTTATTTTGGATTCTTGACTTACATCATCATCATCATGTGTGTCAAAATTGAATTTTTTTTCATCAAATACAATCTCATCAAAATCGAAAATAAAAAAAAAAAAACATCAACTGCTAATACTTGATAATGTAATGAAAAAAAAACTATAATCATCACATGCAATGATTGAGATTGATTTTCCACATCATCATCATCATCATCATCATCATCATCGTGTAATTTGATGCCACATTGAATTTCATCATATATAGTCGTAGTACAATTTTTCATCAAACTTATCATCTTTTTCCATGGAAAATGTTCTTAATGGTATTCTGTAGAACAAAATCATACGAAATATTTGCCAGAATTCTCATTTTCTAGCTGGTTTTTTTAAATGCCATATCCGGATCGTTTTTTTTTGTTTGTTTCAATAATACAATTTTGGAAAAAAAATTTTGGGCTTGAAGCAATTTGAGAGAGAGAGAGAGAGAGAGAGAGAGAGAGAGTGAGAGCACGACACTTTTTTCTCATGCATCCGATTATTATCATCATCATCTGAAATCAAAAAGTGAAAAGTTAGTGGAAAGAATAAACAGAAAAAATGTAATTTAATCATTCATCATACCGGAATAAATACATACCATCATAATGATATAATAATACACACACACACACACAAACACGAAATTCAACCATTCGAAATTCATCCATTTGTTATGATGATGATGTTTTCAAAAAAAAAAAAAATTGTAAAAAGTTTTTTTCTTCAATTTTTTTTTTCATAGTTGTTTTACACATTCTTGAAACTTTTACTTTTCCATAGGGTTTCCTTTTTTTTTATTACCGCTGTTTGTTTGCTTGATTGTTTGTTTGTTATAACCATTTCTTCTTGTTGATTGTCTTTGTATACAGTAATGTAGCTGAGTGAAAAGACAAACAAAATTGTCTCTCTTGCTCTTTGATGTTTTGGAATTAATGTTCCATCATCATTACCATCATTTATAAATCATGAGTGATTCATGTTACTAAAAAAAAGAAGAAAAAGACGTGAAAAAAACGAATTGTAGTCGTCGTCGTCGTCGTCATCAAGAATCGGCACATCTCATGATTCTATAAGCAGAATATTATCATAATAATAATAAATGAAAATAAATGAATGAATGAAAAAAAATTCCAACAAACCAAACAGATCATAAGCGGGCCAATCGAATAATCATCATCATCATTGATGATGATCATGAAAAAATATATATGGAAAATTAATCGATTATATGAGTCTTTAAACGGCAATAAAAATTGATGAAATTAAAAAAAAAAATATAAACATCGAATCGAATGAATTTGTTTGACAAAACATTCCAATTTTAACTTTAGCAGCATCGTTTATGTGTGAATAGATTCAGATCGACAGTGGTATATAGCATAAATTAATTCATTCGATTTCGATTTGAACTTTTTCGCGAAATGTCAACAAACTTTTTTTTTTTTTTTTGACATTCCATGGAATCATCCAAAAGTTATCGCCATCACATGAGAATGAACCGGGAAATGAACATTTACATTTACACACAAACACACACACATGCAGACATTTTTTACCTGTATCGATTTATTATAACATTCCCGACAAGAGATTATTATTATTCAAATGTTTTTTTTTAATAACATCTATCACACACTATATATATATAGCAAACAAGGGCAATGTCATCGCCAATTATCGTGACCGATGAACAAAACGGACCGATGGCATCCGGAATTTGCAACAACGAAAATAAAAAAAAAAAAAATCCATCGATGCATAATAATCATTCATTTTTTCGCAAAAATTTTCTTGTTTATCGTGAATTTTTTCACATTTTTTTCTTCAAAAAAAAAAAAAATTTTTTTTTTGTTTCCGAACCTGTCAATCGAATGACACATCATACATTGTATATATAATGAATGGAAAAAAAAAAAAAGAATTCGGGAAGCAAATAAATGATTGAAGAAATAAAAAATAACTCCGGGTTCTTTTTTTCTGGCCAAAAAGTTGAAAAAAAAAATCTACTTGGTGCCAAATCTAACACCATACATTTAATGATATACATAATATTATTGATTCGAAACTCATCAGGTGGCCATCATCATCATCATCATCATCATATCGACTGTCCATCATGAATGATCATTATGGTTGGCTACAATACACACGTATTTTGATAGTGTTTTTTTTTCGTTTCTTCCCTGTCTAATTCTTCATCATCCGGGATAATAATAACAATTTATGACGACGACGACGACGACGACGACGGTGGATGATGACTTTGAAATTCATTGACCATCAAAAGTTTATATTTTCTTTTTGTTTTATTTTTTTGTTTTGTTTTGTTTTGTGTATTGCCGCTATAATCACCGTGTGTCAAATCAATGAAAAAAAAAAAAATTGGTAAGTAAAAATAAAAAAAAAAAAAAAATAATGAAGAAATTTCTTACTTCAAGGTCCTATGGGCAGTTTGAAAGGTGGAGCTTCATCATCATCATCATCATCATCTTCATCATTTAAATTTCACCGTTGAATCTTCATCATCATCATCATTATCGTCGTCGTAGTCGTCGTCATAGTCGTCGTCGTTGTTGTTGTTTTGATCATTCATTCATTTACAATCATCATCGTTTACGTGTTTGTCATCATTGATGGTGTATTTTCGTGAATAAAAAAAAATCAAAATATTTTCCCATCGAATAAGTATCATCATCATGATTAAATTATCGATAATAATATTAGCCATTCTTCATTTGTCAAATGAACAAAGTATTCATGGTCATAATCATCCACATCGTTCATTAAATCATTCACCATGTCCACAATGTTTAGATGCTCGCCTCATACAACATTATCGTGTACGTAAATGTCGTCCAATCATACCAGGTGGTTGTCAATGTCCATCACGATTCAATTGTCATGATTATCTTGATGAAAATAATGCTGGTAATCTTCGTGGTGGTAAACCAGTTATGGATTCAACAATTCATAACCATCATCATAATAATAATGATTCCGATACAGAAATTCGTGGCCGTTCATTGGAAACGGAATTAGACTATTATAATAAATGTCATTATAATGGTACTAGCTATAATATTGGTGAAATTGTTCCAACAGAAAATGTTTGCCGTATTTGCGTATGTTCATATATGTCCGATGGTACACTAAATGTTGATTGTCCAAGTAAAATTGAATGTCCAACGCCTGAAGCTCGTGGTTTGAAAATGAATTCATTTCATTTTACACCGATCACATTGATTGGTGGTATTAATGGTGGTGGTGGTGGTGGTCCACAATCTATACAACGATATCGTCGTCGTCCATTACGACAGAAGCAGCAACAAAAACGAAATCCAAATGGTGAACCGGAATCAATATCATCATTATCATTATATTGTTATGATTATTATAAACATGATCAATGTTGTCCAAGGCAAGAATGTATACCGGTCAATAGTCGTACTGGCCGTACTATAAGACCACGAAAAACATGTCATTATGCCGGAAAAGAATATCAACTTGGTGAAAAAATTCATTTATCCGATATAGTTGATCATAGATTGACAACGACAACAGTGACAAACATATCGGAATCAGAATCAGATGTTGAAAATCGAATTGAACATAATGGTGATGGTAATGAACGAACAAAATTGGCCGAAATTATAGCCTGTATGCGTTGTATATGTACGGAAAATTGGAATAGTTCGGCTATTGAAGCACGTCCGGATCAACTTCCGTCATTATTGGATGCCGATCAAATTTCATGTCGAAGGAAATCCTGTATTCTTGATCTTGATCCAAGATTTCGTCGTGGTTGTATACCAGTTTATGATCCAGATAAATGTTGCCCAGTGGATTTTATTTGTCGTAAGTTTGGCCGGTCATTATCAACTGGCGAAAAAATAAATAATTAACAAAAAGTTTCTAACAAAAAAAAATTCCATTACCATTTCAGCTCGTACACGACAGATGGCATTACGGGTTCGTGGTGTTGATTATGGTTCAAAATTATGTCATTTCGAAGGCCGTAAATATCCGGTTGGTGCACGTATCTATCAATCACGACATCAGGCAGCCGATTGTGTGGATTGTGAATGTCGTATACCACCTGAATTTACCTGTTTGAAAAGGAAAAATTGTCAATCAAAATGAAAAAAAAAGAAATTATCAACAACAATTTATGAATTGATTGATTGATCATCTTTAAAAACAAACAAACTATAGGAGAGAAAATATGACATTTTATCACTTGTAAATAACATATTTTTTTTACTAAACATACGAACCAATAATAACTAATCGCTAATAATCAAAAATTCTACTGTGAAACCAGAAATCAGGTGAGATTTGAATATAGCAATTATCATCATTCAATATCAATACAACAAACGCATATAATCAATCAAAATATCATATATAATATTGAAGGTTATCATCATCATCATTTTTTATACTTACATTTGATTTCTTGAAAATAATGAAATCATCAATCGATTGAGTATTCTTGAGTCTTGTTATTAATAAAAAAGATAGAGAGATAGAGAGAGAGAGAGAGAGAGAGAGAGAGATTGAAGATGATGTGCAAAATTACATTCAATATTTGTTGTTGTTGTTGTTATTTGCCTTTTAGCAAAATTTTCAAGTTTAGTTTGTGAAAATGTTCACCAAGAAAAAAAAAAAAAAAATCTGGTTTTTTTTCATTCATTCAATCATCATGGTCATTCATTAGTTGTTGATGTTTGTTTGATATGTTGATTGAAAGAAAGTGACCACACCACAAACGCCATTACGAAGATGATTCATCATCGATTCGTTTGTCCGTGATGATGCCATTTATATAAAAAGTGTTGTGTTCATTCGTTTCGAGTGATTTTTTTTTTGTTCAATATATGATGATGATGATGATGATGGCCAGAATTATATTCTTAATGATGATAATCATTGTGATGACCAATGGTCAATCATCAATTGATCGTCGTTTGATTAATCAACAAAATCTTGATCAACAGATAATTAAATCGATACCAAAATTAAATCTAGCATCATTTGGTATTGATACGAAAAAAGGTGATAGTGGCCATGATGATCATGTTGATGATCGTAAAATAAAAAATAATGATCGAAGTCGATATGATATCCATAAGGAATCAATGGAAAATGAACGTAATCGTCTTTATAGTGAACGTATGGAAAATTTTCGTAATGCATTACGTGAAATGGAATGGGAATATTTTGATCGTAGACAATCATCGACACGTCGTCCATCAACATCAAGGACAACGACAACGACAACAACATCAACGACTACAACACCACGATCATATCATTATCGTCCAACTGAAGAAGAAATAAATCGTCGATCATATCGACCGATACCACAGCCAACAAGATCACCGAATGAATATCCGTTACGTGATTGTCAACAGGAATGTGTCCCGAAACATTATCTTCAACATTATTATGGCCATAATTGTCGATCAATTTTTAGTCGTGATTGTAATTGTGCTAAACGTTTCAATTGTCCGGATGATGGTATATGACATTTTTTTTCTTCTTTCTTGGTTGACAATTAATAAAATTAAATTTTCAAATTTTAGTGCTCGATGATAAACGAAAAAAATCCAAAACAACTAGACGAATTGATGACGATAATGATGATCAATGTATTATCGATAATCGTAATCGATATGAAATTGGTCAACAAATACCGATACCAAATCAACCATGCAGTGTTTGTCGTTGTCGTCGTGATTATTCCATTCGAATCGATGATGATGATGATAATGATAGTGATGGACGATCGACAAGACGAGTACCGAAAGCACGTATCGATTGTTCCAAAATAATCGATTGTCCTGAATTGGCATTTGGTGTTCGACCAAGTCGTTCAAATTGTTATTTCGCCTATTCACATGATCAATGTTGTGGTGTTGAGGTTTGATTACAGAATTAATTTCTTTGACAAAAATCTAATGATTTTATTTTGAATTTTTTTTTATCAAGATTTGTCCCGATCAATTAAAATGGGATGATTATCGTCTACATAAATGTCCTTATAAGAATCGTACATATCGTTATGGTGAACTGATTGAATTGGATGAAAATCATTGTAAACGTTGTGTTTGTAATGAATATTGGAATGAACATGATCCAGAATCATCACCGAAATCATGTGTAGATCAAACATGTCCAATTGAACGTAATTATCGACAAAATTGTTTGCCAATCTATCAACCGGATCGTTGTTGTCCTATTGATTATATTTGCCCATTGAAACAAAATATTACCACTACAATAATCGTTAACAATGATGATGATCATTTATATCGTAAATATTTCCAAAATTTTGATTACATTCCGGGTGAAAGACCAAATGGATCATCTAAATATCATTGTTGGTTGGATGGCCAACGTTATCGTTTAGGCAACAAAGTACACATTACAAAAGATTCAACATTATTTCAAAATTCTTGTGCCATTTGCCAATGTAAAATACCACCATTAATGACTTGTATTGAGAATATAAAATGTTTGATAACAAGAAGCAACAATTAATGAACGTCAATAACAGCAACAACAACAACAACAACAACAACAACAAAAATTCCGTTGTCACATCAATCAATCATCATGATCACGTTGTTTGTTTGAGGACTTTACAATTTGATTGAACCCACTACACAGCATTTTATTGCAAAAGAAAAAACAAGTGAATTAATAATAATATTTCTGATCCCGCCATCTCGACGCCATCGCTCATAAATAAATCCACTTAATACTTAAAGTTATTTGGCCGGATTAATAATTTCATTCATCATATATAAATGTAAAAATGTCTAAATTGCAATCATCGTTTATGATCTGACAAAAAATTTTTTTATCAGTTTCGTATTGAAAATTATCAATACGACTACTACTTCTTTCTTCTAATAATGACTATAATGAACGACCGGAACAGAACTGAACCACGAATCATATTGTTGACTAATCATGATTATTTCATAATGAAATCATTATTGATTTTAATTAGAATAATGTTATTCATATTGATTACAACATCGATTATTGTATTCATACGACAATATTATATCCACATAGAAGTTCAACAACGTATTCATCATGCATTAAATGATCGTGGAACATTAGATTGGCCAATGCCCGTTGCATTTCTATCATCATCACCCGAATCATCATGACCATCATCGTCATCGTCATCATCATCTATATAACAACGAAAGTATGAATTCTGAGAAATATAAAAAAAACTCTTCATTTTATTCCATTTCATTTTTTTCCAGATTAGAGTTTTACATTGCATAATTGGTAATTTAATTTTTTTTTTGTTTTGTATCAAAAAAAAGAGACATGATGATGATTAATAAAAATGTCCACAACACAACCATCCCCTTTAGCCCTAATGTGAATGGTAAAATTTTGAATTCCAGTAAATTGAATGAATGAATGAATGATGATCACAGAAAATGAGAGAAAAAAATTTTTCCTTTTAGCCACAATGAGAAATTATTGATTGATTGATATAATTTGTGTGAATATTTTATAAAAATCTACTATGATAATAATAAGTTAGCTGCCTTCATTGAAGGGTATTGGCAATGTATTGTTTGTGCGTGTTTTGTGGTTTGTGTTTGTGTTTTTATATGTTAGGTGGGCAAATATATCTTATCTTAAATTAATTATATTATATATTTTCAATCACGAATATACCCACGATTAGTATATGGACCGGAATATACTGAACCTGAACCAATTGTTGAACCGGCGGCCGATTGTGAATAAAAACGTTGATGTTGTTGATGATGACGACGACGTCGACGTTGTAATATACAGATGACCAATAATAATACAGCTAACATAAGCAATAGGCTAGCAATAGCAACACCAATGGCAAATTTACGCATCGAAATACAGAATTCATTTGGATCATGATGACGATTATGATGATTTCGTCCATGTCGTCTATCCTGATCATTATCACCATTCATTGATGTTTCACTTTCTTCATCATCCAATTCAGGTGTATTGTTTTCATTTTCATCCACATAAAGTCCAGAATATACTTCCATACTTAGATCTTTATCCATTTTTGTATTTCTCATACGTTGTGCCATTGCACGATGATATTGTTGATGATTCATATCCGGTATTACAACAGCATCATATGTATCTCGACGTTGTCGTCTTTGATGTCCGGGTAAGTGACGATAATTACGACCATTTTGATCACAACTTGGTGGCTATAATTATCAAAATCAAATCAATTATTAAATTAAACAATCAAAGAAAAGGAAAAAACATACCACATCAGTACAGCCATCAATTTCATCCTTTAAACAAAGACGGACATTACATTGATAATAAACTGAACTTGTATATGGAAATTTATGTGCATGAAATGATACGCTTGCACGTGTTAGATTAAGTGAATAATCAAATGGACCCATTATTTCTTTATCAACTGGACATCTATCAAAAAAAAAAAAAAAAAAATGTGATGATAAGAGAGACAATAATTTCATGAATCAAATGAAAACAAAAAAATAAAACTAACCCTTCATCATTGATTAATGGTTGTTCACCCCAATTCAATCCATCACGTACTAAACAATTAGTGATTTTCATACCATAAATATCTTGCTGTTCAATTGCAATGGTCAATGTTAAACGATCACCAATTTTAACATTATCAGCAATGATTTCTTTCTGTGTTCCTTGATGATAGATTTTCATTGATGATGTTGGTACTGGTGCCGTTCCATATAATGGTGTTGTTTCTGTTTTACCTTCTTGTGATAGCCTATTGTGATTTATGAATGAGTCAAATAAAAAAAAAAATTCAATTCAATAAATGAAAAAATACATACGTCAAATTATATCCATTTGTTATTCGTTTATCTTTCGTTTGATAACGGCATCGAATATGATAACCACGACCTTGATTAGTAACCAAACGTCTATGTGGTTGTACAATAACCGTGTTAAAATATTCAATTCCATCATCCTATTAATAAATTATTGATTGGAAAATGAATGAAAAATTTCAAAAAAAAACACCATCAATACAACACTTACGACATCCATTGACATTGTATTACAGGCACGTAATGGCAGAGTATAATTGAATTCATTAACATCATAATATTCATGCATACATGATGAATTTTTTGATAATCCTTTTGGATATATCATACCATTGAATAAATGTGGTGCAATCAATGCAATATGTATGGCATTTGAATTACATTCCACATTTACTTCGGTTATTAGACCAAATAAATCTGTTGTGTTGAAAAAAAAAGAAAAAGATGAAAAAACATTGGTTAGTTAAATCAAATCGAATTAAATTAATGATAATCATCATCAGGGTAGAGAAACAAAACCAAAACCAAAAGCCTGAATTTTGACCTGGTGATCACACATGACACATGATTATTTTTTTTTTGCTATCAAATACAGAAAAGGTCATCATCATCATCATTATTATATAACGATAATCGAAAAAGACACACAACACACACAGCAGAATAAATGAGAATTTTTGGAAAAAAAAAAAAAACATACATACACAAACTACACCTTAACTTTTTAATGACATGAAACAACAGTCATCATTAACGATTCATTTTGTGTAAAAAAATCGTTTTTTTTTGTTTTTACTGTACGAATTCTAAAAAAATACCACTCTAGTGTACACATAATATACCAACAATGACATTCGCCACGCATTCAAACATTCTGTCTTCTATAGAATAAATTACTGCATTTTTTTTTTTTTTTTACATCATAATCAGTACAGAAAAAAAACTAAACAAGCTATTTATTTAAAGCAATGAATGATGATGATGATGATAATAAAACAAGATAATTTATGAGGTCAAAGGTAAAAGGTTATGATCATCCTGGTTATGATGATGATGATGGTGTTGAAGATGTTAATTCTGTTAATAATGCATCTACAGACATTATCAGTTGTTGTTTTTCTATGTAATGATCGTTTTCTTCGTTCAATATTTATTTTCTTCTTGAACATCAATATTTTTTTTCACAACGACCATATATAATATATTTGATGATCATCATCATCGCACACTGCAAACAATTTAAAATAAAAAAAAAAAATAAAACTTCGAAATATATCCTGTTCAATATTACCTTGCTCTCTCTCATTCTCCTTGCTTTTATATTCTGTACAATGACCTGTTGCCACATCATCCCATAATCCTTCAAGTTTAATCATCTAAATATCATGAAACAAACATTCATTTCGATCAAACACACATACACACACATAATAATCCTATAGACAGGCTGCACATAATCATGGCGTATTTTATTGAGATTTTGACTTGTTACGACGACGACGTTTCTCTGACAGTAACACGTAGATATAGTTTTATTTTTGATTATTTACATAAAAATTTCTTTTTCTGACTTTTATGGATTTTTGTTTTGTTTGTTTTTTCTATATTTTCAAACACATACCTGGTTTAATACTGACAGCTGGTGTACCCGCCGCCGACGACGATGGAATTTCATTGGAACGTTGATCAAAAACAGCTTTTCCAATATTAATATTATGATTACCCAAAGGATTACTATTGCTTAATTTAGAATTGGCTGTTGCCGTGTTTGGAAAATGTTCCACATGAACACCAACAATTGAATTGGCAGAAACAATAATAATGATGATGATGATGATGATAATGATAATACTAATGATGACCAGATGAACACGAAAAATAAGAATGAAAATAATGATGATAATGATGATGATGATAGAATCACAACTTGCTAGGAAAGAAAAAAAGAGAAAATTAATGTTAAAAATATTCAAAGACAATCGATCAATGAATTACACTTCCGTGTATATATTTGATTATTTTCAATGTCAATCAATTCAATCAGTCAATAGGTCGATGATTATTATCACTGAATGCAATCCACTGATTCTACTCAGTAATTTACTAGCTGGCTCGATCATCTTTAATCATTTTTTTTTCTAAGTAATCGATCAATCTATTCTATTTGACCTGAATTTTTATTTTTAAATCAAAATGACCATTGGTAAAAAAAAGGAGAATGAAACGAATGACATTGCCGATTGGCGAAAAAATCTTAGTCATAAGAAAAAAAATGTCCGTTTATGGATTTAGTGTGCGTGAGCGCATTGCAAACTCTACATACTATTATACTAACTCTTTTCATTTGATGACCATTAATAATTTCACAAACCAAATTTGGAAATGATGAAAAATTGACAATTCAATTTTGACAATGAATTGGCAATTTTTTTTTGTTTTTACTCATCAGGGAGGTAACTTTATCACTTACCGAAAATATTGGCAGTTTTCGTCGTCCATATTCATCATTCTGATGATGATCATGATGATAATTTGGCATTTCGAACCTATGATTTGATTTCAACATTTTATTTGATGATGATCGTCGATGATGTCCACATGAATGAAATGGTTTTTGTTTTTGTTGTTGTTGTTGTTCATATGGTTCCATAATAATTATTTTTCGTTGATCTTAATATCTCACAAACACACATCAACAAAACAAAGTCAACAAATTAATGAATTTAAACTTGATTTTTTTTCTTTTGGGTCGAATCAATTTTCATTAGTGACGACAATAATGTGTTCAGATGGCCAATTCTAGAATTTGAATGTGTGTGTGTAAAATAAAAACAAAATTAATTAAAAAAAACGAATCTTTTTTTTAATGATTAATAAAGAGAAGCCACATCCTTCTTGATGAAAGAAAAAAAAACAATGACGATGATGATGATGACCAAATTTGGCGTCACATCAATAATAATATACATCGACAGGTGTCTTCACAAACACATACACACACAAATATCATTCAAGAATCAATCAAACGCCCACCATTTTGTCACAAACACACACACACATACGCCCAAACAAAAATAAAAATATGAAACACACACACACACAGTGACAGTAGCTAAATTTGGAGAAGAAAAAAAAACATTCAAACATGATCATTCATCATCAAATCGATCAATGAAACGAACCCTTGTGACCAAAGGTCAAGAGACCAACAGCAACAACAACAGCAAACGTCAGGTTATAGTCGAGGACAGAAAAAAACATTTTCTTCCGTTTTTTTCCTCAGCATCTTTTTTTTATTGAGGAAGAAATTCTCACAACCACTTTTTATACAACGAACAGACTAAATACAACGACGACGAAGAGGACGACGATGAGACAACAGAAAGGTGCTAAAAGGTCTGTTTTTTTTGTGAAAAAAAAATTTCTCCATTTAAAGATGAAGAAAGAAATAAGAGTTTTTTTCGTTGTTACTGTTGTTGTTAGAAAAAAAATACATTTTCACAGCTAAATTATGTTGATCATAATACAAAAAAAATACACAACAAGACAGGTGTTTCGATCAATTTTATTGATATACCTGAAAAAAGAAATTACAATGAAATGATAGGATTTTTTTTCCATCTTAGAAAACATTTTATGACGATAAAAAAAATGATCAAATTTTTCCGATCCAAAATCACTATTGGATTAGTAATGGAAAATTTGAATGAATGGTCAAGAAATTGAAAATAAAAGGAAAAGTTGTGATTTTTCATTCTTTCTTTTTAATTTATGATGATGATTTTACCTGAGATGAAATTGATAACGAAACCAGACAAAACGGTTTCTCATCTATAAATACACATGTTCAGGTGTGTGTGTGTGCGTGCGCTATAAATAGACATTTTTTTTTGACCATTATGAAATGAGAACAAATAAAAGAAAAGAAAAGAGAAAGGCTAAATTGAATCAAAAATGTGCATATACATAAATATTATGGTTTCAAACTTTTTCTATTGATCATTTTCAAACAAACAAAAAAAAAAATCGAAAAAAAGAGTTTCGATGATGATGATGATTTTTCCAAAAGTATCGGAAGTATATTTGCATCTTCAATGACAGAAGATATGTCACACTGTATTACAGTGCTACTTGTTGCATACACACACACACACACACACACACAGACAGACAGACACACTTTCTTCACAATGAAAATGTAGAAAAATTGAAAAAAAAATTTTCTCTCATTACTTACAATCTGATTTAGATAAATGATTTTTTTATCGGTCAATCGTTTTGAAATTTTGACCCGTTACGATAATGATGATGATGATGATGATGATGTTTTGTTTTGAATTTAAATTAATTACACATAGTTTGGTGACAAATCAAAACAAAACAAAAAACAATTTCACATTTGACATTGAATGTGAAACATATACATTAAGTGGAAAAAGCTCGATTAAAAATTCATATTATTATGACAATATGAATGATATATGAATAATAATGCCGGTCAAAATGGCAGTGATGATTGATGGTGATGGACCTGTATAGACGACGACGACAACGACAAATAATCGATAAGTTTACGGTCAAAAAAAAAAAAAAAAACGAAATTCAGGAAACTTTCTTCTTCTTCTTTTTTTTTAATACACAGAATAGGTCACATGGTTGAACTTTTGCAGTTATAACTCTATTAGATATTAATTGAATTTTTACAATTTGAATTTAAATTAATTTTTCACACACATGGACACAATAAGGAAAAAACAAAAGATTTTTCGTTGACCAGAATGGTTGACCACATTGTTGATGATGTCATTTTTTTTTCTTCGTTTTCACTTCATTGTTGTTGTTGTTGTTGTTGTTGTTGTTGGTCTTAATTGATCTCTATTCTTATAGTAAATTATATCAATTGATGATGATGATTATGTCCTACAATGGATGATGGATGGATGATAATGTTGAACAAAAAAAAAAATAAAACACAAAAGATAATTGGCACTAAAATTTAAAAAACAAACATTGATTATTTTCTGTTGATAAAATTTACAACTTTCAATTTTCTTTCTCATTAAATTTTATCGTTATTTTGAAAGAAAAAAAAACAATTAAAGATGATGATGATGATGATGATTTTAAAGTAGGAAATCAATTAACTGTGCATGTGTGTGTGTGTGTGTGTCCACTTATTAAAAGTGTAATGAACGCATAAAAAAAAAGAATGATGAAGGAGGATGATTGAACCCAAAACAAGAGATTAACCACAAAACATGATACAATTTGTCATCATCACCGTTGTTGTTGTTGTTGTTGTTGATGTTGTCAAACAATCAAAAAGAAAATCTTCTGAGAAAAAAAACATAAGATTCGAGTCAAAATTTAAAAAAAAAAAAATCATTTCGACTTGATCGAAATATATTCGTGTGTTTTATAAGTGTTGTTGTTGTTGATGGTTGATGGTTGATGATGATGATGATTGCCAAAAACACTCACTCAATTGTGTATGTGTGTGTGTGTGTTTGGATCATTTGGGCCTACAACTTTGTTGACTTGACTTGACTTGTTTTGAGTCTTGTCTTATTATATGTGATGTTCATAGCTTCTTTTTTTTGAAAAGTTTCGTCCATATAATTTTGATGGAACTGACGAACGAATGAATGAACGAATTTATGTATGGATGTCCATACACGGCAATAGCAACGTGTGTGTGTGTGTGTGTGTGTGTGTGTGTGTCGATATATGAGACACAAATCTAGTTTTTTCTCTTCTTCGACGTCTTCAGGTTAGTCAGTTTTTTTTGCCGAATTTCTTCCACCACACACATAATGCCGATCATCATCATACGAAACGATGATCATTCCACCATATATGAATGAATGAATAAATGAATTATGTGTGTGTATTGTATATTGCATCTTGAATAGAAACAAAACATCAAACGCAAATTTTTTTTTCTCTTCCATATATTTGAGAGAAAACTTGTTGTTGTTGTTGTTGTTGTTGTCGTTGTCGCATATGGTCCATTCATATCCACATCCAATGGCAAATGTTTATATGTTATGGGCCATTTTGGCTACACATGAATGAAGACATGTTATGTTTCATTTCGTCTATGAGAAATATTTACCAGTATTATTTTGCAGTAATGATAATCATCATACAGGACAGAAAAAAAACTTACTTGTAAATATTTGTGGAACAGCAAACAGGTGATGGAACGAACGTAAATTTAGATTTTCAAATTTTTTTTGTTGTTGTTGTTGTTCACTTCTCCTCCCACACACACACACACACAAACAGAACAGAATGATGGTTGATAATCAGTCGATGTTAGTTACAAGATCGTGGAACAACAACAACAACAACGGTGAAATGAATAAAAGTTATGAGAAATTGAACGATGAGGAATATATAACGTGCCCTTGATATCATATCTTCAGGAGATTTTCATGTTTTTTTTTTGTTTTGTTTCAGTAAAACAATGGCCATTTTCGTTTTATATTATGCTGAAATGTGATCGATATTATTATTATGGATCATAAATCTTGTTTTATTGTCCATCCAATGGAACAAAACATTTCTGTTTTTTTTTTCATTAACTTTGCACTTATTTGGATCGAATTGATTCATTATCAGGAAAAAGGGCATGTCCTTCATCAGCATCATCATGACATTGGTTGATATACACACCCAACAACATTCACACTATTTGATTAGATGATGATGATGATGATTTCAAGCTTCTCGTTATTATTTTATTAATAAATAAACTGACCACATCGATTGATCGATGATCGATTGTGAAATTTGATATACGGTGGGTGGATGTAAGTTGGGAAAAGAGCCAAGTTTACAATCAATCGAAAAAAAAAATTCGTGTTCATTATCATGATGATGATAATTGAATAAATTCAATAACAATTGTTGTTGTTGTTGCTGTTGCTGTTGTTCAATGGTCTACCAATCTTGGACATCTGGTTGCAAACATCATTGAAAATGGTTTCCCCTTTTTTTTGTTGATAAAAAAAAAAAAAAAAATTCAATGTCATCAATGATTAAAACTTTACACACATACATATACAGGTGGATGCGTGTGGTGTTTTTGTATGAACATAAAAATTGAAATTGAAAATTTATTTGAAATTTTCACGACACATATATACGATCTGATGATGATTATTGCGTGTACAAAGCAAATAATGATGAAAAAACAAAACAAAAAAAATTGGCTGAATGTTCAATGAATTTAGATTTTTTTTTCATTCATTCATTCTTTACAAAAGAAAAAATTATTCAAATTTTGAACGGAATATTTTGCTGATGATATCAAAATGTTTTTCGTGTGGCACACCTTTATCATACAAAAAAAAACCAATTCGTTTGTATCGTTTCATTTGTTCATTCATTCATTTTGAATTGAATTGATGACATTCAGCCATGTTTGCCATTCATTTCATTTGAATAACAAAAAAAAGAAAATTTTGCAAATTAAGATAATGGGACAATAAGGTAGAGAGAATGAAAATGCTTACTTATTTTCATAATTTAGCAACAACAACAAAAAGAAACATTGAAGATTGTTGTTGTTGTTGTTGTTGATGTACAAATTAAATTTGTTCAAAAAAAAATTGAATTGAATTTCATCACACCACACACAACTCAATGTCAAATTGTTTTGAATGACCAAAAACAACAACAACAACGACGACAAAATTATGATGATGACACAAATGGATTAAATTGCAATTCCAATGATGATTTAATCGTCGATAACTTTGTTCATCATAAAATTTTCAAATCGAATGAAATATGAAATTCGAATCCAAACAAAAAAAAAACAATCGAAAAAATGGTAATTTTGTTGTCCTGTTCGTAAATGACGTTTTTTTGGTTTGATTTGAATGTTTTGTTTTTGTTTTTTTTTTATTGAAAGTAAACGTTTTTTCAATTTAAAAATTTTAATTGAAATTAAATTAAATTAAAAAATCTATTTTTATCATTGATAGGACAATTTCATTAATACCATGCTTCTGGTCCATGTTGTTCTTTGACCAATGTAATTTCATCGATAACTTTACCATTTTGATTACGGCTAACCTGTTTCAATTGAATATGTGTATTATTCATAACAGTCATATAAGTGTATCCATAATCATTGGATACATATGCTGTATATGGATGAGGATTCGGTCGAACTGGTGTAACAAATTCACGGCAACCGGCTGATCCAGTAATAATATGTACCGGTGATTTTGGATTATAATATGGATCTTGTCGTGTACCGTTGAAAATTTTTTCATTATAAACCGGTAAAAATCTTGTATAGATATGATCATGTGCCCAAAATGAAAGATCAACACCATATTTATAAAGTAATGGTTCCAGACCAGGTAATTTATCAGTACCGATACGAATTTTATTATCCGGTACTCTAGCCTGATAATATAATGGATGATGACCCATCGTTATAATCCATGGTTGTTTTTTTCTATTTTCAGGTTCATTTGCTTGTTTCAAATCTTCTTCTAGCCATTTAAATTGATTATGTATCATATGTGCGCCAAAATGTAAATGTTCCCAAAAATCTGTATTGATGGCAATCAAATGAACTGGACCAATATTATAGCTCCAGAAATGATTATTTATCTCTTTTTGACCTTGTGAATGCATTGTAAAACGATGATTATAATTGGAATAATTGCTACAAAGAAAAAAAAACAGAAATTGAAAAAATTGAGAACAAAACCAAACAAAATGAAAACTTACTATGCACGTTCATGATTACCGGCCATAACCTGATATGGAACATATGCAGCAATTGGTTGTATTTGACGCATAAATTCATCACCAACCAATGCATTATCTGTATGCATATCGTATGCAAAATCACCAACATGTGTTACAAGATCATGATGGCCAGTTTGAATCTCTTCCTGTAACATTGCCATTGTTTGTGCATTATCATTACCAAGATCACCATAAATAACAAAACGTGGCTGCCAATCATTACCAGATGGAAATGTTTTAAAGAAAAACATATCCGACCAACCGGCTTCGGAACCACAATGATAAATATAACGGGTATTCGGTTTCAATTGTTTCATATACACACGATGTATGTACATATGACGTTTTCGTACACCACCATCAATGAACAATGATTGTTGTCCATTGGCCGAATAATCAAATGTTGCTTTTGATTCTTCACCATAATGACATATTGAATGATTTGTTTTTTCCATTGTTGTCCATGTTGCAACTATTTCCGTTGGTTGTTCTATACATATCGCCAAAACAAAACAAAAAAAAACATTAACCACAATCGTCGATTATATTTAATTATTGAACTTATATCATCACCAATTTTGTTCACTTACCACCCAATGAAATATGTAATTGTTCTGGTTGAATATAAACTGGTTTCCATGATTCTTCTTCCACTGATGCCAATGTGATGGCTATTGAAATGACAATGACAACAACAAAAAATGATGATCGTAACATTTTTTTACAAAAAAAAACTATTACAAACTATTTGAATGATCTCAAATACATCAAATTTTACCCAAACAATTCAATTTATTCAATTTTAATTCCAATTCAATTCATAGTAATGATAATGGTAAGTGGATTCCACTTATCGCACCATGAACTCTCTTGAATATTATCTTATCATTTCAAAAAAAAAAATTTTTTTTTTTTTCATTCTAGATTCTAATCAACAAGTACATTACCAGCAGTAATTGAGTATTTTTTTTTTTTTTTTTGATAAATTTCAATCAATATATCATATGTTGCAAATCATAAAAATATCGATATGATGATGACATCGGAACTGATCAAAAAAATCGAATGTTTTTTTTCAATTCTCATTCCTCATGCATATGTACACACACACACACACACTGTGATGCAGTTTATTGTTCCAGATAATTTTTTATCATCATAAGTATCCTATATACTAGATATGGCCACCATTTGCATAAATAAATTGATTATAATGTAATTAATTAATTAATTAATTATAATTGGATCGATCAATCACATCATTATTATTATTATTATTATTTGTCAAGGCCAAATTAAACAATAAATAAAAAAAACAACTGCGAATGAATACACAACGAATGTACGTTACAATTGATTTTATTTTTTCTCGGTCAGTAATGGTGGTGATCAATTCATTCATTGAGCTCTGGAAACAGAAAACAAAACAAAAAAAAAAAAATGCAAATCTTAAACACAGAAAAAAATGCCCAGTTTTCTTCCATGTCCATTCATTCATTCATTCATTCATCACATACATGTATAATATCGTCTGATGACGGAAGTAAAAAAAAAAAAAATTCATCATTGGTGACAATCACAAGACACTCACTGTTTCAGGAAAAAAACACACACACACACAGACACACAATTATTTCTTATCATCAGAAGATGAATGAAAAAAAAAGTCCGAGAAATATTCCCGATATAACGGTAAAATTTTATCTGTAGGTGGTAGTACCCCCTTTTTTTCTTTTTCTTATCACGCGGTTTTTTTTGTATTGTCATTATCATCCACCACATCCACAACATTCGGAAACACCATAATTATAATGAATATAAAGATTATGATGAATGAAACTTTTTTTTCCTGTTTTTTTGTGTGTGTGTGTGTGAATGGAAATCATTTAACCGAAAGATTTTTTTTTCTTCCATTTCAAGAACAACATAATAAAACGATCAATCATGGACAATGTGTCAACGTATTTCATTTTTCACTTCACTTCAGAATATCGTATAACTTTCTACCTTCGTTGTTCGGTTTGGTATATTGAATTTTTAAATTTCAAAAATTCAATCATAAATTCATCAGCAATTTGTTCAACCGGCTTTGTTGAATGAATGAATGAATGATAAAATGCAATTATTGTTATCATCATCATTGGATTAAATATCAAAATTCAATATTGATGGCTATTGAACAAAGCTATTCACATTGTTCAACAGAATGATTGAAAATAATCAATGAATGTATATTATTGTAAAATGATAATAATTTAAGGCCAAGAATCAAAACTTCCTCAATATTCAATCAATCAACCCAAACAAATTGATCAAGTCAAGATGAAGAAGAAGAAGAAGAAGAAAAAAATTCATTCAAGCTCGAATAAAGAAAAACAAGTTGTAAGAAAAGAAATGAAAAACACTCATTCCATTCCATTACATTCGGGTATCATTGACAAACCTTTATTATTATTATTATTATTATAATGATATTCAAGGTGTCACCCGCAGAAACAAAAAAAAATATTCATATCACAGGTTACCATAGACAACAATATAATATGTATGTAATTGTAGGGGCTAATAATTTCAGCCAATTTTTTTTTGCAACGGTCGACTAATTCTACAAACCAATTGAATGGTGTGAAACAAAAGATGACTAAAAAAAATCATTGGTAAAGTCATCACATTGATAATTGATAATCAATTTATTGATGATAAAGATGACAAAAATCAAAAAAAACAATGTCAATCATCATCATTTTAAATGTGCAAAAAAAATTACTTTGACCGACATTGTCATAATCACCATCATCATCATCATTATCATCAACAACAACAACAAACATACCCTCTCATCTCTTGTTTCACAGTATAGATATCCTTTCTTTTTACCATTCAGGTTTAATAACAGCAACAAGTTGGAAAAAAACACGGAAGTTTTTTTTCTTTCTGTTCTTTTTTTTGGTTGAAAAATTTTTCTACTCAAACGGTCATCATTTGATTTGTAAGAAGAAGACTCTAGTAACCTTCATATTATGTTGATGAATTTATTCATCCATACGATTTATTCTCATCATCATCATCATCATCGTCTATAGAAACCAAACAAACAAACATCATCCTGGTCATCTTACCTTGATTTTTTTTTCTTCATAGACAATCATTATCCTCGTCGTCGTCATTGAATGATCATTATCATCGTTCATCATCATCATCATCAGCAGCAACAATAGACATAACCGGCTTTTCTTTTTAAATATACATCCATTTTAGAATTTGACTTTATTCCAGTCTTTCTTCTTCTCTCATTTTTTTTTCATGATTTATTTGTATATACTTAAATCGTTGAATTTGTGGTGTGATTTCCGCATGATGGTTGGTGCTGGTGGGTACCACCAATCTCTCTTCTTCATCATCATCATCATTAGAAATTTAACAGGTAACACAAATCCCATTCATTCTCTTTACTTTCACAAATGCACACATTTGATGGGCATATAAATGTCCGTTTTGTACGGCAAGGAAGGTCATTTTATTCCATAATCATAATCGGGAAAAAACTATGAATGAATGAATGATGATAACGGAGTCTTGCATGATTGGTTTTGCTTTTACCAATAAAAAAAAACCTGAAAAAAATAATGATGAAATATTGATATAAAGATGATTGGGATTGGTTTAGTAAAGTTGATGGCAGATTGATTTCAAGTTTTTTTTTATTACTTACGAATGTGAGATATATATCATCATCATAAATCGATTCAAAAATGTTCGACAGTAAAAAAAACGTCGATATTTTTTTAAAACATTGAATTTGATGATTGTATACAGGGTTCATCTACCTTTGACATATTGAATAGCGCCATTGTATGTGATGATGATGATGATCATCAGATGATTTGTTGTTGATTAAATTTTCTTTTTGTTTTCTTTGTCATTCATTTGAAATGGATAGGAAACAGCAAAGATAACTTAATCATTACGAAGATTGAATGTGAGAAAGATGACTAGAACTTTGTTGTTGTTGTTGTTTGTTTCACCAATCATTCAACGACAACGATGAAGATGATAAAGAGAAAGGTAATAGAAATAGGAAGGTAATTTATTATTGTATTCATGGTATAGATGTCAATTGGTTATGCTTGACACCCTGAATTCGACATTATTTTGTTGATGATGATGACGATAACCATGATGAATCGATTTTTGGTTGAATTTCGAATCTTTTGTCAATTTCTGATGTTTTTCTGCGGAAAAAAAATTCCATTCCCAGCCAATTTGTCTGCCATCTAGCGATGGAATTTTTAACTTTTTGAAATTAAATCCTATGTTCATATAGGACGTATGCGTTTTTTTTTCATAATTATTTTCTGCTGTGTCACAGCCTGTTTTGTTTCAATTCTCAGTGTGTGTGTGTTTCTCGTTTATTGTGATTGATAAAATTTGAAAATTTTTCTTGTAAAAACAATGGCAAATGATCCAAAAAAATCTACAACAAAAGAATCGAATAAAGATTCAAAAGAACGTAAAGATGATTTGAAAAAAAAGACGGCTACAATCGATCTTGGATTTCTTGAAGAGGATGATGATTTTGAAGAATTTCCAGCTGAAAGTAAGTCTAAATCTAACTAAATGAAAAATGAAAATAATTCGATTTTGATTAATAAATAGATTATGATTTATTGGAAAATGATGATATCGAACCGGTAAACATTTGGGAAGATGATTGGGATGATGATAATATCGAAGATGATTTTAGTGCACAGCTAAAGTAAGTGATGATTTGAAAATTTGAAATTTTTTTTTTTTCTTACTAAATTTTTTTTTCTTTGTTCACAACAACATTGGAATCTATAGAGCTGAATTTGAAAAACGAACTTTGACCGGCAAATGAAATAATTTGATTCGAATAAAATTGTAAATGGACACCACTACTTTTCACTCATAATGTCAATTTGAATAATTAAAATTTTTTTTTAAAATTCTGTCATTCATTCTGTTTCCATTCATGTAGCCAATCAATTAATGGTTGATAATAATTTAACAATGGTTCGATTCGATATTCCAAATGATTCGAATCAAACATTTGTTTTACAATGGCCAAATCATTGTCATCATTAAATTCTTGTTGCATTAAATCGATTCGTAATAATTTCCGTAATGTATCAAAATCATTTGGCTGTGGACAACATTCAACTAATGATGACCATCCATTGTGATGATGATGATGATGACTACAGATTTTTTGATGAAATTGATGTTGTAACATTACACCAAATACATAACGCCAATATGGTTGAAAATTGGCTACATGATATTTGAATAATGGATCTAATATTCGTTGATTATTCAACATTGCTGGTCGAGGTGGTGGTTGTCGTATATTCTGAATTTGTTCACGTAATATCCAATAAAATTGATTTACATCAGCCAAATCCAAATTTTTGGCTGTGAATGTTTGATTACGCCATTCTTCAATGATCATTCCAAATGGTATTGTAACAAATGTGCTTAATGCTTCTTCCATCAAAGTATTGATGATATGTGATTGGTGAACATGTTGTTTGTTTTGAAGCTGACAGCCATTCCAAGCCATTCGTATTAGTTCACCAATACTTTCATGTGCAGCTGAATTTGATGTCATACGATAAAGATTTCGATGGCCAGCATGATTTGTTTCAAGAAAATAATAAACATGACCAAGTTCATGAATGATTCGACGAAAATTGTAATGAAAATCACCATCTTGTAAACATATACTCATTCGTACATCATCATCATCATTGCCATTGTACATGTTCATCGTACGTGGATGACAACTACCATTATCATGTGTAATTAGATTTGAATTTTGCCAAAATCCATCCGGTAATCGATTAAAACCACCATGTTGAACATAAAAATCAGCAACAATTTTAACTACATCATCCATCATTCGATTAGTATGATTTATCATTACAAATTGATCAGGATATGGTTTAATCAAATCGATAATTGAATCCATTTGGCCACCATTCAATGATCGTAACCAATGTGCCGGTATTTTTCCATCATCATCATCATCATGTTTGTGGAATTTTTCTCTCAATACATAACCAATATAATCCATTAGTAAATGATAAAATGGTTTCAATCGTTTCCATATTTTCCATGCTTTCATATGGATTTGATCGATTTTGCCAATCTTTAGATCATAATTTTTCATTCCATAATTCTAGAAAATTAAACCAGAAAAAAATTGAAATTATATCAATATGTCAGTGTGTGTGTGTGTGTGTGTGTGTGTGTGTGTTAAACTTACCATGAAAATATTCACCACCACTAATTTTTATTTGTATTTTTTCAAACAATTCAGGTATCGGACTACGGGCAAGTTGATGATGACATTTATACCAAATGCTAAGCAATTCATTTGGATCATCAATTTGTTGCATAATCAAATCGATTGATTCATCACATCGATATCGATGATTACGGTGTTGAATTTCAATCTGTTCAATATGTTTGGTTAACACTTCTTTTTGATGATTGAATATTAATTGTTGTAAATGATTATCATTTATCTGTTGTGATTGTTGGCCAAATAACCGTTGAACTTCAGACCAATATCGACAAAGTTTGTTCATTGGACAATGATGAAATGAATTGGATTTTTCATTATTGGCCATTGAATTACAATGTATTGAATAACGATCATAGGACCATTGGATAAAATCAGAAATAAATGGCTGCTGATCATCCATCATTAATTCATGATGATTTTTTCCAACTGCCAACTGTTGTTGTTGTCCCATTAAACGTTGCCATTGATTTGTTTGATAACGATAAAGCCAATGGCCAAGTATTCGATCATATTCATTGATTTCATTGGTAAGATTTTGTAGCAGAATTTTATTGAAAAACGATGGACATGATGAATCAACGTTTAAAATGAATACGTTCACAATGAATGATACAATTATGAAGCATTCAAATTTAGCCACCATGATCATCATCATCGGTCGTACAGTTTGTAAATGTTTTTATGAAAACCAAACAAAACAAAACCAAAAAACCAAAACCAATGGAATATAACCGTGCGTGCCCATTATTTGATTCAAACATTCATTCATTAATTGAAATCCATGGAAAACAACACAAGAAGAGCAGTTCAAGTGGGCTATAAAATAAGTAATAAAAAAAATGCAAGAATTACATAAATCCCTCAATTATGATTTAAACGTTGATGATGATGGTGATCAGGATCTTTAATAATAATAAAAAGACAATTTCCGATTAAATCATTTGTAAATATTTGACAATAATATCTGTGTCGTAGAGTGAAAAAAATGATCATTAAACACGGTATAATCATAATCTCATCATAAAGGTTAATATATTATGATCATGATAATCGAATATCAATAAATAAACAACACACAAAGAACAAAATTCAAGTTTTGTACCGTTCATAAATAATGTTCGTTCGTTCGAAAAAAAAAAAGATGATTTTTTTTTTTCTTTTTATTTTAAAAATTTCTGATTTTGTCCTTGAATCGTGTTCATTCATCACATAAAAATGATTTGTTGTACGAAAAATAAAATAAAACCACTTAATCTGTTTGTTTGATAAGAATCTTTATCGTGTGTTTTTCTCCTTCATTTACATTGATGTTTCACATTGTTTCACATCTCATTATGAATTCTTCACAATGTTTTCGTGCACACACATTTACGATATTTGCAAAATTCCCATCCATTTGCATTTGATCATAATCAAAATGATGAGAACCGATTCTTGTTATAAATTTTTAAAAATAAAAGAAATCCACTCATTTCCAACCGACAACACTCACAGACATCATCAACTTGAGACTTTGTAAATCTCATCATTGTTCGTTTGGTTTGCTGTTGAAAACTTGGTGAAAAAAAAAATGTTCAAAATAATTTCCATTGGATTGATGGCACTAAGTTTGGCCATGATCCAAGCACGATCATATCGTTCATTTGGAACAACAAACAAAATACCATTTACCAATGGATATCAAAGGTCAGCTGCTGCTGCTGCTCTAGCATCACCGATTCGTTCTGGTTCTCGTATTGGATATTCGATTGTTGGTCTTGGTCAGTCAAATTATATTCGTCCATCATCAGCAGCTTATCGATCATCATCATTGTATTCAAATGAACCGGGCGCTGCATTAGCCATTCGTACAACACATCGTATGGTATATTATGATGTTCCAAATGAACGTAATTATCAACAACAACAATCATCATCACCAATCTATGTGGATTCACAACCAATACCAATAACATTAATGATGCGTACATATTCAAGTCCAATTAATATTCAACATTCTCATTATCAAGGTCAAGGTGGTCTAGAAGAAACAGCTAGCGAAGATCAAGAATTACGTTTTATACATACAATAACTAAACCAGTTGTACAGGAAGTAAGAGAAATTATATCACCAATTCGTATGATTTATCGTGAAATACAGCCAATTGATGAAAGAGTGGAAACAATGATCGCTAGACGTAAAAATAGTGACGATAATACTATTGAACTCATATCATTGGATAATGGTTCCAGTTTGGATTTATCGTCATTATTTCCAAAATATCCGGATAATGATAATAAGAAAAAACAACGTCGTGCTTCATTGAATTTTTGAATTTTTTTTTTGAATTGTTTTTGTTAAAAATTTCTTAATCTCTATAAATAAATAGAAAAAAATACTTGACCATCCACACATGCGACTTTCATTTCATTTTCTCCAAGAGTTAACGTTTTCGTGCAATAAATAATAGTGTCAGATAGGCAAAAAAACGTAACAATATCATGAGCGATAAAATGCCAAAAAAATCCAACCATTCTGGTTGTATACCAAGTGATAGAAATTGTAATACATCTTGACCATTTTTGAAACACATTTGTCCTGAACTTTGTTGTTGTTGTTGTTGTTGTTGTTCTTCTATGCCGATATTATCATTTCCAAATGAATAATTTGATGATGTTGATTGTGATAAAGCTGTGGCCATAGTCATAATCGTGGTAGTGGCTGTAGCGGCGGCATGGGTCATTGGTGATGTCGATGATGGTGGTGGTGGTGGTGGTGTATCCGTACAATCCAAAATGGCCACATTACGCCATTGATTAACAGCCAATGCATCGAATCCATAATAAAACCAAGATATCCATTTGGTCCAACGTAAATATGGTGGTATTGAACTGAATAAAAAAAAATGCAGAATCATTAATAGTAGGTATAGATTTAGCCGAAAAAAAATACTCACTGAGTGTTGAGAAAATAACCACCCAACAATTGAAATGGCATAATGAATGGTGGACCAAACGATAATGCAACATCGGTATTACGACAAAGACAGGAGATAAGATAACCAAATGAAACACCACATGCCGAAATGATTATGGCAATTAACATACAATAAAGATATGCATCAAATGCTGGATATAGATTCAATGTATAATAATAAATTGTAACGAATATGATCGGTATACAGACGAAAATGGGAATTTCGGCTAAATTTTTGCATACAAAATATGCATCAACCGTATACATTCCATTATTATGTTCACGAATGAATATTGGCAATTCTGAACAGAATACATTGATAACAGCAAATGAATTCTGTGTGGTCATATTGACAATCAACAGGAATAATGCACCATTCATATTCCAAACACCACGTTGATCATAATTTTGTGAATAAAATATTAATCCCAATACGATCGAATTCATCTGTGTGTGTGTTAAACAAAAACAAAAAAAGAGAACATTAATAATAATAAAAAATTGATCATATCCGGTGGTTGTTTTTTTTTGTTGAGAATTTTCCACCTATCTTGGAGGCGACGGGTATCGATCCCGTTACCTCTCGCATACTAGACACCATTACAACAACAACAATCTTGAAGATTATTATCATTGAATTTATGCTAAGCGAGCGCGCTACCATCTGCGCCACGCCCCCAATTATAAACAACAAATTCTTAACAAATGAACCAGGCCAAATATGACATGACGTATTGGGCCATAAATATGGTATATAAGACACCAAAAAAAAACGATGATGATTAGAATAATAAAAAGAAAACTAGATCAATGTTTCAAGCCACGAAACAAACAAAAAAAAAACAAGTTTTCTTGCAAAATCAATGAAAGATTGCATTGATTGATTTGTAGCAGCAGCAGCAGCAGCAGCAACAAGTTTGCTTTGCTTTGCTTGTTGTTGTTGGATCAAATGTTTCATTCATTTGAATTAAACTTACCAATGCTTGTGTTAATCGTACATAGGTAAGTGCTGGCTCACGAATAACAGTCAAATGTGAACGCCATGCTAATGCAACATATTGTTGCCAACGATTTGTTTTATATCTTGATGGACGATTACGTTTACTACGTATTGTAGTTGAAAAACTACTACTATGAAATGATGCTTGTAATGAATCTAGATTTTGTTTTTCACGTTCAAAATAATCACATATACGATTAATTTTTTTACGACATTCCATCTCTTTACCGGGTACAACGGCTAATTCATGAACGAAAAAATCTGCTGGATTATAATTTTCTGGACATTGAAGACCAATAGTGGCAAAATGTTCTAATGCAGATTTTATTTCACCAAAATATGCTACACGTCCATCAGCCAATAGAAGTAGATTCTGAAACATTTCAAATGTTTCCGATGATGGTTGATGAATAGTACAAATGATTGTTCGTCCTGAACGTGCCATTTTATTAATGATCGATACCAGATTAGCAGCCATAAATGAATCAAGACCAGAAGTTGGTTCATCACAAAACATAATCGATGGATTTGTCAATACTTCAGCGGCGAATGAAAGACGTTTCAATTCACCACCAGAAATGCCTTTAAAGTAACGACTACCACCAACACGTGTGTCGGCACATTTATCCAGACCTAATTCACGCATTACTTGATCGACGCGAGCAATTTTTGCCGTTTCCGATACAGTGGACGGTATTCGTACCATTGCTTGAAATATAAGATGTTCACGTACCGTCAATGTTGGTAGAAACATATCTTCCTGTTGTACATATGCAGACATTGATGTAATCATATCGATATCGGCTAAACGATCATTGATACGTATAACACCATCTACATGAAAATTCGAAAGATTACGACAATTCAATACATTCAATAAGGTTGTTTTTCCGGCTCCACTATACAAAAAAAAATGAAAACAAAAATTTTTAGAAAACAAAAACAAAACACACACACATACCTTGCACCCATGATGGCCAATGTTGATCCGGCTTTAACTTTTCCAGAAACTATAATTTATTACAAAAATAAAATAAGCTTTTTTTTACAAACAAATCAAACAAATTTATCGACTTACCATTTTTAATAATCTGTGAACCATGTGGTTGTGATTTAAATGTAATCGTATCCAATACGCTTACCGATGGTCGAGCCCAAACATTAACATTATGCCATGTAATTGAAGCTGGTGTAAACGATGGTGTTGACAATGATGATGATGATGGTACATCATTAGGACCTGCTGCTGCTGTTGCTGCTGCCACTGTAGAATCTGATGATGACATTTTTTTTTTGGTTAATATTCGGACACAAATTTTCAATTTGATTTTCTCGACAAAATAACAAACGTGCGCGTGATGTTTGTGTGTGTGGTTTGACTCGAATCGAATGATGACGATCACGGTTGTGTTTGCAACATTCGAATTTATTTCAAATTTCGAATGAAATTGAAATGAAATGAAAGAAAAAAAATTCGAATGAAATGAAATGTTTTCATTTGATTGATTGATAATTGATATTTAAAAATTTTGAAAAATTATATAAAAAAAAATTCTTTTTGCAGAGAGAGAATTAAAACGGTATGAAAAATTCTTTCTATTCGAATAATAAAATTCAATTAATCCAATTCAGTATCGCCACCAGTGTAGAATGCAGCCAAATAGGCAAGATGATAAAACATTATGAATAAGAAACCGGTACACATTGATTGGAATGCATGTTCAACCGATGGACTTAGATATGGATCCACAATATGACGATTTAATTCTTCATCAATCAATGATTTCATATCATAATCATTGTCACTATGATCGCCATTAACAATTGTTTTATCATCATCTGTTTCATTGAAAAAAGGATTTTCATCTTCATCAGTATCATCATCAATAAATGTTTCTGGTGCTGAAACTTCAGATTCATTATCATAAAAAAAGTCATCATCATCATCGAATTCAACATCATCCATATCTTCTTCACACCAGAAATGATCAACAACATTATCCATATTAGAATATTCAAAATTTTTATCTGCTTCTTTTTTATCATCATCATTATCATTAACATTGAAAGCAGATGAATGATGATGATGATGGCAACAATGATTTGGATGAATTTTTAACAGCCGCCCACGATTCAATAATCTGTTGCATATTCAATGGTTGTTTTGATTCAATAGTTTTCATTGATTTTGGTTGATGGATATCGAAAGTTACTTCATCATCATCGTCATCATCAATTTGATGGCGGCAATGTCGTGGCAATTCAATTGGTTTATAATATTTTTTCCACAAAATTTCATTCTGCACTACATAACGACGTTCACGAAGATTAGTCAGTTGTTGATCCCAAGTGAAACAATGAATTTCAGTCATAATGCAGCCAATTAACCATTTTAATTTTTCATCACTTGAAAATTCAATACGATAATGAATACGTCGTTGTTCTATTTGAAATGTAAGCACTGATGGTGAATATGAACACAATTCACGAATATTACTCAATTGTATCATTTTTGTATTGTCTTTATGAAATGGATGTTGCCGATTTGGTTCTCGTTCTTGTATTAGACGGCTACGTGCTGTAGGAATTAATTTCATTATTTTAATCACAAAATAATGATCGGATCCATCGTGTGGAAATTTAGGATTCACTATATCTTCTTCAGTTAAAAATGGATTCATCATTGTGAATTCACAATCTTTCCAATAAACATCACGTACAGGTGGATAAGATTCTAAATCGGTAAAATAAACTTGTACAGTGTCCATCGTTTATGAAAAGAATTTTGTAGTTTTGATTCGATAGTTTTTGTTTTTGTATTAATAATTTGTTTGTAAAATGAGTGAATTGTGAATATGTTGAAATTGTCGATAATTTTATATCGATAAACATCGATTATCGTTTAATGAAAAACAAAATTCAATTCAATTCGATTCTATTCTTCAAAACAAAAAATCGATTGTATCGATTGTTATTATTTTACACAATTCGAATTATTATATTGTTCAAATTTAAATTTTTTTTTCCTTTTTGAACGAAACAAAAAAAAATCGAGTGAAATGAAATTTTTTTTTTTTTTTTTTTTTTTTGTAAAACTTTTATTTATATAAAAATGTTTTTTTTTGTTAAAAATTTCCAAGAAGAATGAAAAAACGATAAGAAAATTACTACTATATTCAGAAGTTCTTTGTTCCTTTGATTCATTACACAATTCATTCATAAACAAGCCTTTTTTTTCTGAATGCAGCCAAAATTAAGAAAATTAAGAATAGAAAATTTAAACTTTTCATCATCTATTTCACAAACAAAAATATCGCCATGAGAATCATTTTCTGTTTTATCATCATCATCGGTTTTATATCATCATCATCATCATCGGTGTCATTAGATTCATCCGTTTCATCAGAATCATAAAGGCATTCTAGTGCTGATACTTCAGCTGCTGGTACTACTGTATCGGATTTTGATTCGATAATTTCATTATTTTTAACTTGTTGACGGCAACAAAGTCCTTGCATTTTCATTTGTTGATGTATCATACGTAAAATTTTATTCTCCAATACAAAACGACGATCGCTAAGATCAGTATATTTTTTATCCCAAGTGAAACAACTAATTTCACTCATTATGCAGCCAATTAACCATTTTAAATTTAGATCATGTGAAAATTTAATACGATAATAAATTGGACGTCGATGGATTTTAAATGTAAGTATGCATGGAAAATATGAACGCATTACACGAATGGCACTCAATTGTACTTTATGTATTTCGGCTGTATATTCTTCTTTAGGATACGAATATTCTTTATCACATGAATTTTTTTTGGTCACGTTGTTTTTTTCCACTACTACTAGACTGCTAGGTGTTGTAGTAATTTTTTGCCAAATTTTAAATTCAAAAATATGACCAGAACCATCTTGTGGGAATGGAAAAACATGATTCTTCATAGTGAAACCACAATCTTTCCAACAAATATCACGTACAGGTGGTTTGGATTCGAAATTTGTATAATAAACTTGTACAGTGTCCATATTTTATATCGTATTATTTGCAGAAAGAAAATGTGATTCGATAGTTTGATAGTTTGTTTTTTTTTGCAGAAAATTGCTTTGTGTGTGTGTGTGATTCATGTGCACCAAAACTGTAGGGAATTTTATACAGACAAATATCGATTATTCAAACAATCAACCAAAATTTTTGTTTTTCATTTGATTAAAATTCGAATGAAATTTTTTTTTTTTTATTGAAAAATAATGTTAAAAAAATATATTAAAAACGGTAAGAAAACCTTTCAGTAAAATTCTTGCAATTATTCATTGATTGATTCATTTCATTTCATAATCAAGATTGTTTTTTGGAATGCAGCCAAATGAACAGAATTTTATAAAATCAAAAAGAATAGAAAACCGGGATTTATGTTCATCTTTAACATCTACATCATCATTATCATCATCTTCGTCATAATCGCCGTTAACAGTTGTTGTTGTTGTTGTAACTGTTTTATTATCATCATCTGTTTCATTCATAGTAGGAATTTCATCAGATTCATTGGATTCTGGTGCTGGCATTTCCGATTCATCATCATTCAAATCTAAATCATTTTTATCATCATTTTCAACAATAATAGATTCACGTTTTTCTTCATAATCATCGTAGTATGATGATGATGATGATGATGAATCATCATTAGCATTAAAAAATTCATCATCATCAAATTCATCAACATTAAATGTCATATCTTTCATGTCATTTTCAGTCCAGTAATAATCAACATCATTACCAATATTAAGATTTTCATTATTAGTATCGACATTTTTGGCTTCTTTTGTAGCATCATAATCATAATCATCGTCATCATCAGTATCAGTATCAGTGATTGCATCTGCCCATGATTCAATAATTTGCTGTATGTCTGTTAATGATCGTGATTGTTTTCTACGATAATTTCCCGGTTCGGAATATGAACGAATTTTTTCAATTGTTTCATCATCATCATCATCATCATTATTATTATTTGTGATTTGATTTTGTGGCGATTCGATTGGTTTATAATGTTTTTTGCATAAAATTTCATTCTGTACTACATAATGACGTTCACTTAAATTAGTTATCTGTTCATTCCAAACGAAACAAGGAATTTCACTTATAATAAGCGAAATCATCCATATTATTTCAAAATCATTTGAAAATTCAACACGATAATGAATAGGGCGTTGATCGATATTGAATGTCAATTCACATGATTCAAGTGACCACAATTCACGAATGGTACTCAATTGTATCATTTTCATAGCACCTTTTTCATATTGCCGATTTGGTTCTTGTTCTTGTGCTGTAGGAATTATTTTCAATATTTTAATCACAAAATAGTAATCAGATCCATTGTGTGAATTTTGTTCACCACTTTGAAATGGATTCAACAAACTGAATTCACAATCTTTCCAATAAACATCATATAATGGTGGATTAGATTCCATATCAGTATAATAAACTTGTACAATGTCCATTATTATTATCAGGTTTGGCAGAAAAATGATTCAATAGTTTTGCAAATTGTTAATGAAAAGTATTGTGTGTGTGTGTGTAAATAGTGATTTATTTTTGTATGCAAAAATATCGAAAATTTTATACAGATAAATGTCCATTATTATTATTGAATGAATATTGTTCGAATTCATTTTTGAGTTTTTTTTATGCCGGCATGTAAAAGAATTGATTTTTTATTATTATTAGCATTTTTCCCAGAATAAAATAAAATTATTAATTTATTAATTAAAATTAAAATAAATATAATTTATATAAAATTGTTATGTAAATTTTAAACAATTTGATTCATCTTTGTTTTGTTTTTTTTTTTTTGTTTGTTTGAATCTTTTCAATAACCACCACCATTAGGTGCAGCCAAACCAATTGGTGCAATAAAAGCGGCTGGAACGGCCATTTGACCAAATTTACCGGAAAAAGGTGTTGGAGTTTGCGGTGCTGCAAAACCAGCAAATGATGGTAATGTACCATATTTACCATTAGTGCCAGCAGCAAAACCACCGGCAAAACCAGCTGAACCAATAAAACCACCACCATTGATTGGTACAGCAGATGGAGCAAAACCACCGAATGTGATTGGAGCGGCAGATAAACCATTGGCACCGATAAATCCACCTGTAGCTGGTGCTAATGGAATACCGCCAACAATATTAGGGGCAATCATTGGTGCTTGTGGTGGCGCTGGTCCATATCCATATCCATTCGATATAGGTTGACTACGTGCAACCAATGTTTGAATATTCTCTTCAACAGGACGTACTTCCTGTCTTATTGTTCGCATTGGAGCGATTACTTCTCTTATTTCTTGCAGAATTGGTTTATGAATCGTATGACGTAATACATGAGGTTCATCTTGTGAATGTGTTTCCTGTACACTTCCTTGTGATGTAACATGTTGATGTCGTACATTCATTGGTGATGAATATGTTCGAAACATCATTGTCATCGGTACGGATTGTGATTCGACCATAACTTGATATGGTTGTGCTGCAGTTTGTACACTTGGTATATCATAATATTGAATATTTTGTGTACTACGAACAGCTAATGAAACAGGAGATATTGCAGGTGCTGGCGCTGCCAATTGAACAGGTGCAGCCATCGCATATGAAGGAGCAGCCATTGCGGTAAATGCCGATGGACCATAATTTGGTGGTGGTGGTGGTGCTGCGGCAAATACACGGCCACCACCATTTCCATAATTAACGGCTTGAACGGCGGCGGTAACACTTATGATGACGGTAATCAACAAGTAAATCTATGAAAAAATAAAATTGAAAATTTTCCCGAGAAAAAAAATCCAAACTTACCGATCGATACATTATTGGTTTGAAATTTTTTTTTATCCAATTCAAATGTCAATGGTTAAGTTGTTGTGTCTGTAGTCTTTGTCGTGGTTGTCATCTCATTTTCATCAGATGAGGACCTTTTTATACGAAAAAAAATTTTTTTTTTCTGGAACAATTTTCTCTGAAAGAGTGTTTCGTTCCAAAAAAAATTGTCGTTGTCGTTTCTGGAACAAATAAAATTTTCTTCATTTAAACATTGGGCCATCATCATCATCAACATTTTGGGAAAAACAAGCATTAAACAAGTAAAAATAAAAAAAAAATTTCTTTCCGATCGAATCTTATAATCCATTTTCATTGGGAGAAACAAAAAAAAAAAAAGATGAACTGTTAAAAAAATGATGATAATGGTTTGATGACAAACAAAAAAAAAACACTTTCAACGACAATAATAATCAAGATCATCAATCTTAAATAAACAAAACGATTAGATCTAAAAAGACGAAAGAAAATAAAAAAAACCAGTAAATACAGAATGAGAGAACCATCAACATACATTCGTACCATTTCAATATTGCCATGTTTTGTAACGTTTATTATCATTACGATTTCATCATCATGAAGAAAATTCAAAATTTTTTCCATTGGATCGATGTTCTTGTGATGTTTTTTTTTGGTTTCAAGGTTTCATTGATAACATAATATGATTCAGGCCATGATGATTGATTGATAACGGGTAATGTGTGTGTGTGTGTGACAGTTACGTTGGAATAATTTTTCCTAAAAAAAAAGAAAATTAACACACAGATGATGATGATGATGATGACATATAGTCATCATTAAGATCATTATTATGATATCGAACCACAATAAAACGAATATATGTAAATTATGATGATGATGATCATATCACAGCATAAAAGTTCTCCAAATTAAACCAGTTATTATATATATTGTCATCATCATCATCATCATGTTTCTTTGATTCGATTCGCGATACGATCTGGTTCGATGATGATGGTCGGCTTGTTTTTTTTTTCTTCTAAATTTCTGATTCATTTCATTTGATAAATTATTGTTTTGATCATTAGATATCAAATTTTTGTTTCTTCAATTATTCTCATCATCCTTTTTCGCATCTTTATTATTATTATTATATACATCATACAACAAGGTTTTTTTTTTTTTTTGGTTGAAAAACAGAACAAATCAATCATGTGTCTAACAAAATAATAATACAAACACACACATACACACACACAGATGCAGTAATTTAGCTAAAAATAAAAACCAGGAAAAAAAATGAAAATCTAATAATAGAAAATAATCCTGAAAATTATCATAAAAACAATTATAAAATGATGATAATGTTTTGCATTATTAAAAATTGATGATTCTATCATCAACGAACTTGACGAGGAACTTGTCAATGATTCGAATTGAGCATCAGAAACAATATTCATAGATGACGTTCGGTGATCATCAATTAAATGTGCAACTATTGGTGAATTTTTTATGGATTCTGTATTAATCATTTCCGTTGCATTTGTAACTGTTGCCTGTATGATGGATTGTCTATGTATATGTTTAGCTGCTAATTCTTCATCACTATAACCAATACGTAGATAGGCCATCATTTCAATTTCAAATACTTTATTTGGATCTTTTGGCATTTCCATTGGTAATGATCGTCTACGACGACGACGACCAAGTGCATAGATTCCATTACCACATGGTACTTCTTGACATTTATCAAGACAAACATTAACCGTACCGATAAACATTACATAATTTGATTCAGGAAATTTAAATGCACGAAATCGTGCCGATATTGAATCACCACCATCATTGGATATAAAATTACCAAAAATATATGGATCAATAGAACAACCATTCAATACGATTACTTCTTGTTGACGATTTGAATTATCAGTTACTTTCATAAAACTAGCCAATAGGCCATATACATGTTTGGATTCATCATCCAGATAAATAATCATTTCCAATGGTGTTCCCGGTGCAACATTCAATGATTGATTAACAAATCGTCCATTACGTTTAACTTTAAGATTTAAATGCGGATATGGAGCACGTGCCGTAATATTATCGGTAAAATCCAATACTCTATAAACAAAAGACAAACAAACATTGAATCGTTGAATGAAAAAATTCAAAAATAAATACATACTCGGCTTCCATAAAATTTTCTGGTAAATCAATTTCAGTAAAATTTACTAGACGCCCATTTGAATCTTGAATCCAAGCGGATGATGATGATGATTCACGTTTAATTCGTGATGCTTGAGTTGAACTATTTCCAACTTGATCATCATCATCATCATCTAATGGGCTAGTTTCCACTTTAAATCCAAGTAATTGATCAAGATTTGGCTGTGAACATTTAAAATAAATTGATCGTTGTCCGATTCCAGTTCCATCATATTTGGATTCAACAACAATTCGATTATAAAAGATACGTGTACCGGTAATTTGATCATGAACTTTTGTTGTACCACAACGATAAAAATCATCCTGTAATGATAGCTGAAATGTGGCCACATATTTTTCCATTTTTGGTCGACAAACTAGATATATTCGAAAATTCAAAAAAAAAAAAAAAAAAAATTAGAACAAAACAAAAACTTTTTTTTTGCAATTGAAACACAAAAAATTTACTCGAAAATGAACGAAGTTTTTCCAGATAAACATATGGTTCATCATTGGCCATTTGATTACGGCTACTATTCGATAATGTTGGTCCATATAATGATGAAAGATTTACCTGTATTGTCATTTTGTCCATTGAACAATTCAATCGATACGGTACTATAGTATATATGAATGGATGGATGAAACAAAAAAAAAAAAAAAAAATTTTTCACATTAGTTTCAGATTCTCACAACGACAAAAAAAAACGGAAATGAAAAACATGCGATCCAAAATATCTAAATTGATCGCTTGACAAAATTTCAAATCTGAATATTCTCTATTATTAGATTATTCGTTATTCTTCAATGTATACATCATCATCATCATCATTAGTTGGACAATTTTCAATGATCATCAAGGAAATATTTTTTTTTTTCATAAATAAATGGAAAACATGTAAATGACGATTCACCACTATTATATAAATATAGAGAAAGAAATAATAAAGAAAATAAGATATAAAACGACTTGTCTATCATTATTCCATTATGTACACACATTTGCTACATTTTTGGACAACATTTTCAATTTTCAATTTTCAATTTTGTTTGGATTTGTGCCATATATATCTCTCCTAAGCATCGTTTACTGAAAATTTAAATTTGAATTTCCAAACACACACACACACACACACATTCAATTATTTGGTTTGTTCTTTGCAATAAAAAAAAAAAAAAAAAGATTCGCTTGAATTCGATGGGATAAATGGTTTTTTTGTGTGTGTGTGTGTGTGTGTGTGGGTGGGAAACGATGTTTTTGGTTTTTTTTTTTATTTGCATTAAGATTATTCAAAAGAAATTGAAATCGATATGGAATATTCCATTCCATAATGATCATTGGTAATCGATTTAGTGGAATGGCAAATAATGATTGGTGACGACAACAACTTTATCATTTTTAAGAATTTAGAAATGTAAAATCTTTATATGAAAATTGATCTAAAGTGAATGAATGAATGAATGAATGAACAATATCGATTTATCAAACGCTTGTCAATCTGATAATCAAATCAAAATTGATTGATCGTTATATCGATTTGGAAGATGAAATAAATAAAAAAAAAGAAATTCAAAATTCCAAAAGTGAAAAGTTGATATATTAATATACAAAAAGTAAAGAAGAAGAAAAAATCCCAATTCAATAGCCAAGTAATAGGCGACCATTTTAGCCTGAAACCAGAAACAACAACAGATTGCATATATGCCCAGATCTCCAAGAGTAAAAAAAACAACAAAAGAATGAAAACAGAAGCGAAATTTTCAAGAGGCTAACCATCATCATCATCATCATCATTCTGCACATATAATACCGTTTTTATCATCATCAATTTTATTCTTCCATGTTGTTTCTTGTGTCGATAAATGTTTGCTTAAATAGGCTAGCTATTTTTTTTTTTTTTTTTTTGAGTGTTTTCAGATACATTTTCAACGATATACCACTTGAGAATCAATAGTATATAGTGAATGAATGAAAAACTTTTGAATAAATATAACGAATAAGTTCAAGAAAAAAAAACATAGCCAAGTTTCAAGAGTTTCACCAATCATTTGCCAACAGCGCGACAGCGATTCTTATTTTATTCAGAATTCTTATATGGAATCGTAAGGCAAAAAAAAAAAATTAGCAAGTTTAAAAAATAATAAAAACAGAAAAAAAATTGTCATAGAAAATTGATTCTTGTGATTTCAATTTTATTCAATTTCTTTTTCTTTTTTTTTTTACTTTGTCATTCAACCATTCACAGCAATTCATTCATTTACAATCAAACAAAATGAGAATGTATAGAAAATTGAAATTGAAAATTATCATAATTCCATACTAATGTTGCTCTGTGTGTGTGTGTGTGCGAAGAACATGACAAATTTTTTCTCTTTTTTTTCGCTTCAATTAGGATCATCAAGTTTATTATTATCATCATCATCATCATCAAGATGATTTGTATATGGTAATTTTTTTTGTCTATCTGCAAGCATATCTCTTGGTTTGTTTCTTCGCTCAAAAGAAATTCCAAATTCCAAATTCTGAATGATGATGATGATGATGATGCATCAGTCGTAGAATAAAGCAGAATTTTTCATTTTTTCATGCAAAAAAAAATTTCATTGAATTGAAAATGAATAAATTATATGAAGTATATGAAATATATGGCCGGCCATTTTATATTGAGTGAAGAGAAAAAACAACAACAACAACAACAAACTCATCATTCATTGTACATGGAAGAATCATCAAATGAAATTAATCCCATTTTTTCTCAGTAAAAAAAAATAGTGAAAATAGTAAAAATAGCAAACGCAAAGCCAAAACCAAAATCAAATTCAAACGAAACAAAAATAATAAAACTAGCAATGGATTGTCAAAAAAAAAAAAAAAAACTAGATGTGAAAAGTTTTTCTGTCTTTTGACAACAAACAAAAAAAGTAAACTAGGAAGAAGAAGAAGAAAAAAAATCATAAAAGATGTATATGGATGTATATCATCAGTAGAATTGCAGAATTTCTCATTTTTTTTTTGTTCATATATAATAAAATTCATGATGATGATGATGATGATGATAATACTCAAAACCCATTATGATGATTATTATTATGATGATGATGATGATGATGAAAAACACAACACAAACATGAATGATGAATTTCTTCTTCTTCTCCTTTCTCTATATACATGATTCTCTATAAGAATTTCGATAAAAGAATATTGAAAACAAAAAACTTTGAAAAAAAGGCCTTGAAGGGAACTTGAATCATTGAATGAATGAATGGATGCAAGTTATTTTTTCAAAATGAAAAAAAAATTCTGCATTCAAAAATAAAAATAAAAGAAGACTTTCAAGTAATGTAAAGAAAAAAATCGACAAGAAAAAAAATAAAATAAAATAAAATTGATGGCCTACCATCATCATCATCATCATCATTTTTGTTTTGTTTTTTGTTTATTCGATTTTCATTATTATAATAATAATTTTCATTTTTTTCCGATGTGTGTGTGTGTGTTAGGCATTTTCGTTTTATTATTATTATCTACATACAAACACGCATACACACACACACACACACATGTATTATATTCATGATTCTGTGTCTTTAAGAAATGAATGAAAAAACAGCAAAACAAAACCAAAAAAAAAAAAAATGAAAAATTCTGCTGCTGATATATGCTGCTTCATATATTCAATATTCAAAGGTTTTTTTTTTGGTCTCATTTCCCTTTGGATCTCTAAAACGAAAAGAAAAGAAACGCCCATTCACACAGAATAAACAAGATGAAAAAAATCGATTGTTTGCGTGTGTTTACAGAATACAGAATAATAATAATAAAAAAATGGATCCATAAAAAAAAGAAAGAAAAGTTTCTGTAACCCAAAATAAGAATATTATGGACATCATCCTCATCATCATGCAATACTAAATAATAAATATATGAGTAATGTGGACAAAGTTTTTTTTCTTCATACAACTATAATGTTTTCGGATGATGATGAAGATGATGAAGAAGAAGATGATATAAGATGATCATCAACAAAAGTTGTGATCTTTGGACTTTTTTTTATATTTCCTGGATGATGATGATGATGATGATGATAACTAAACTTATTGTCATCATCATGACAATGATATGATATGATAAATTGTCAAACTTTTTTTTTATTTCATTTTATTCATTCAACCATCACACACATACACAAACACACACACAGAGAATATTTTGGAACGTGAATAGACATATATTTTTTTTTCATTTACCTCAGATGGATCGATCAAAATCAAACGAACAAAAACACACAAAGAATATCTATATCAATCTAATCATTTCATTGATCCAAGAAAAAAAAATAAAATAAACGCCCAATTCTAGATTGTCAATCTTGTATAACCACCATATATGCGATACACATCACATTGATGATGATGAATGAAAACTAAATAAAAAACGTCTTTTATATGTAGAGAGAGAGAGAGAGAGAGAGAGAGAGAGAGAGATAGAGAGAAATATCAAAATCAAATAAACATGTATTTATGTTGATGATATGGATGGATGAATAATCATTCTATTATCATCATATGCAAAAAAGATGTGTACCATTCCACCAATATAAATGGAATGTATTTTTTCTCGATTTTTTTCATTTACTTCATTTGTGTGTGTGTGTGGGGGGGTGTTGCAACATATGGAATGTGTAAGGACAAAACGACGACAACAACAACAACAACAAGAGAGAGAATTCACATCCAGAAGAAAAAGAAAAAAAGATTCAGAAGTACACTACTACCATTAATTCATCCATTTTATTCATTCATCGATCGGTCGTTTTTTTTTTTTTTTTTGGTTCTGGTCGAAATGAAATGGAAATAGCGAGAAAACCATTGGACAATTCATATAAAAGAAAAGAGATTCGCTTATTCGTTCGTTCGTTCGTTCGTTTTTTGTGTTTGATTAATGATTCCACAAAAAAAATATTCTATGCATCAAAAAAAAAAGAATTTTTTCAACAATCATCATCATCATCATCATCATTTTTTTCTGGGAGAAAGAATTTCATCTCAAAAGTTTTACAAATGGAATTTCATAGATTATTGTTTTTTTTGCACCCTTTCTTGCTTTTTTTCAAAAAAAATATGCCAAAAAATAGAGAATATTCTCACCCAATGTGTCTACTATATAAATCATTATAAACCAACCAAATCCAAATATGATCAGATTGAACATCGAATCGAAAGATAAATATCTATCCAACCAGATCGATTCAAATATATCGAATCGAATCAAATCGATAACAAACAAATCCAAAAAAAAAACTAACAAACAAACAGGAAAAACAACAACAACAACAACAACAATGAAAAAAAAGGGTCGACTATGTGATATTCTAGTTGTGTGTTATATTTTTTTTCATGGTTCATGAAACACACACACACACATAAATGTAGAATTCACAAAAAAAACAGAAGAAAAAAGAATAAAATGGAATCTAGCGCAAAAGATTCTAAATCTAATATTACACACACACACACACACATCTAGAATAATAGACTTTTAGAAATTGAGATATCTTTTTTTGTTTCGCTTTTGTAACCAAACACACACACACACACATATTGATTCTTACGGATCGTTTGTGTGTGTGTATCGGATATTTTCAAATTTTTTTTTTTTTGGTTCTTTAGGAATCAAAAAACGTCAGAATAATGATAAGAGAGAAAAAAAATTCTTTTTTTTTCGTTCTCCAATTTTTTTTGTTGTTTTCAAAAGTTAAACTTTTTCACAAAATAAATGAATGAATGAATGTAAAGTTCAAATGGTAATAAAAAAAAATTCTTTGCGTCATGAAAAGATTATCATCGTCGTTATTTTTATTTTTTTTTTTTGCCCGAAATGATCCAATAGTTTTTATTTTCGGGATATGATTCTCGAAATTAAAGTAAAGAAATTCTTTGTGTGTGTGTGTGTGTATGTGTTTGATTCAAATTCATGAAATGTCCAGATGAAAAACAAAAAAAATCTGGACCATACACAAACACACACACACACACAGCAGGATATTTTCACATGGCAATAATCATCATCATCATCATCATGATCCCAGAATAATCATCATCACAGAATTTTTTTTCTGGTCAAATGTTATTGACAACATGACCAAAAAAAAAACGAAATTATTATGAGAAAAAAAACACAGAAAATCCAAAGAAACCAGAAATTTCATTTTTTCTTACTTGTTTGATTGAAAATTACAATTACAATTACAATAAAAATAATCATCCAACCAAACTAATCAAACCGACCATATCATCATCATTATGATGATGATGATGATGGTGATAATTTTGTAATTAAATCCAATTTTCCACATAGATAACACACATATACAAAGAGAGATCTGGTTCTGAAAATTAAAGTAAAGAAATTCTTCAAATGAGATTGGAAAACGAAATTAGGTGTGTGTATGTGTTTGATTCAAATTCATGAAATGTCCAGATGAAAACAAAAAATCTGGACCATACAAACACACACACACACACACAGCAGCAGGATATTTTCACATGGCAATAATCATCATCATCATCATCATGATCCCAGAATAATCATCATCACAGAAATTCCTTCAAACCCAGTGTAGATATTCTTTTTTCTGGAGTGTTATTGACAACATGACCAGATTGAAAAAAACGAAATTATTATGAGAGGATGAAAAAAAACACAGAAAATCGTTAAAATGAAAATGGATAAAAGAAGAAATATTTTGAAAAGAAACCAGAAAGTTTGATTGAAAATTACAATTACAATTACAATAATAAAAATAATCATTTTCATTAAGTTTGATGATGATGATGATGATGGTGATAATTTTGTAATTAAATCCAATTTTCCACATAGATAACACACATATACAAAGAGAGATCTGGTTCTGTTTAGTTTTTTTTTCTCTCTATATTGGTCAACGAACCATTAGAATACTGCTAAAATGCTGCTGTTGTTACACACACACACACACACACACAAGATTGAATTTCATTATTGGAAATGAAATCTTTATTCATTGCCTGTGTGTGTGTGCCGGGCAATTGGAAAAAAATCGAAAATTTTTCACTTTCACAAATAGATAATATAGATAGATAGATAGATAGATGGGAAATGATATGATCAGATTAAATTTGTTTGATCACATTTTCAATTTGAAGCTTATGCAGACAGAATATTCTTTCACTCTAGGGATCAATTTTTTTTCTACTGATTCCTTCATATATATAGAATTTATTTTAGTTAATCTTTTTATCGGATTTTTCAACAATAACAAAAATTCTGATCAACAATCAATAGATAGACAGATTGATTGAGATGAATAGAGAATCTGAAACAGAACCAGAACAAAAAAAAGATTAATAAAATTTCATCATCATCAATCATTCATTTATATATATAAAAAAATAGAATAGGCCATCAGGGACACATATAGAAAGATCAGATCCAGAAATAAATGTCAAACACACACACACAGACACACAAACCCTAAGGGGTATCGATAAATAAGAGACAAAAAAAAAACAAATTCCAATCTAATTGCTGGTCAACAACAATCATCCATCGACAAACGGAATATTATTGTCCATCCAAAACATGGATGTGGATAAATCTTTATTATGCAGCAGCAGCAGCAACAACAAAAAGTCAAAGACAAACAAGCAGAGAAAAAAAACATCAAAGAAACACAAAACACACACACAAAAGTCGGAATTTTTATACCAGAAAAAGATCTAGATTTGAGAGAAAAAAACAAAAATGATTTTCGTGAAATCATTTTGATGATCATGATGATCATAACGATGATGATTTGAAATAATACGTGTCATCACGTATTACAAACACTGTGATGACCACCATGACCACCACCACCACCACCGCAACCAAACCACCAACATGACCAAATTTGTTGTTTCAAATTGCAGAGAAAAAAAAGAAGGGCAGTCAGCTATATATATTTTTTTATGACTTGGATGGATCTATCGATACACGAATATATCCCTACTACTAATGGAATTATAAAAAATGCAATAAAAAACAAGCCGGTCTTTGATTTTCTTTTTTGTTTTCTCTTTGGATTTTATTTCAAATAAAAAAAAATTGTTCCAAATGGAACAATCATTATGGTTTTTTGTTTTGTTTTTTTTAAAAAGTGGAGTGAATGGAAAACAGAATAAAAATCGAAATGAATGAATGAATGAATGCAGAATTTCGATTAAAAATTAGGCTTTTAAAATGGAAAATTCTTTTTTTCCTGAGACAAAGTTGATGATGATGATGATGATGATGGAAAACAGAATGTAAAAAGATTATGTACAAAAAAAAAAAAAAATTCCAAGAACAACATGAAACACAAGATCAAAAGAAAAAAAAGACATTGTTCCAAATAAAAATAAGACAAAGAAACAAAACAAAAAAAAAAGATGTACAAAAATGAATTAGTAGTGAAAACAAGAATAAAAAAACAATAGAAATTGGTGCTTTGTGATTCTTTAAGCCGCAAACAAACAATGTAAAACCAAAGGGAAAGAATTAACATTGCACATTCACACATTCACACAACCAACACCAACACCGAATCTTGGATTCTAATAAATTCTCTCTCCCACACACACATGGATTTCGATCCAGAAAAAAAAAATGAAAATGAAACCCGATTATAATTTTCTGATGATATAACTCATCATCATAGTCACTCACGCCAGCACTACTACTATTAGTGAAAGAGAAAACATTTGAAATGAGACCATCTTTAATCTATAGAAACTAGACTAGACTACTATGAAAGAATGAATGACAAAAAAAAGGAGAAAAAAAAGAAAGAAACCATGAAATAATGAAAAGAAAAATGAAACATTTCTCTGTTCCACTGTATTTACAATTGTTGTTGTTGTTGTTGTTGTTGTTCCAGAAAAAAAAGTCATTTCAAGTTTTTTTTTCTCTCATTTTGGAACCCACTGTTGATGATGATGATGATGATGATGATGGCTGTTGTTGTTGTTGTTGTTATATTGTTGTACAAGAATAAGCTTTTCAGTTAAATTGAATTTCAGTCATGTCATCATCATCACCATTTTCAGCAGCATCGTCTTTTTTTTCCATTTCAACAAAAAAAAATAATGTCAACGTAATGAACAACAACAACAACGACGACGACGAAGACGACGATGACAAAAAAAGTCAACAACAGGCCAAACAAAAGAAAAGGAACCCTACAAGGCAAAATTCCAAAAAAAATTCTAATTCTTGATTCGAACAAAAAAAAAAAATGTGAATGGAAAATTATTGAAAAAAAAATTGTGAATAATAAAGAAAGTGGAAAAAGAGAGAGAATTTTTTCATATTTTCATTTTCATTTTCTGATCTGATCTGCACAAAACAACAACAAACAACAACAACAACAATGAATATGCCCCCTTAGAAGAAAATTCTCACTACTACATTATTTAATTCATAAATTCTCATGAGAAATGAAATGAAAAAAAAATGCAACCATATCATGATGCTAATGAGAGCATAGAAGAAGAATATCAATTTCGTTTTGGAATTTGTAACCAATGTCATGCGTTACAAAAAAAAGCTAATAATAAAAAAAAAAAAAGTGGAAACAAAAAAGAGAAGAAAAAAAATCTGAAAATTTTAAATTAAAATAATCCTCGAAAGTAATACTACTACTATATACTTTAGGATTCTTTGGTTTTTCTTTGGTACCAATATTTACTAATAAATAGGACCTAATGCGCTTTTTTTTGCGAAACAAAAACAACAACAACAACAACAATCTCGGAGCGAACGAAGAATGAATGAATGAATGAATGAACAAGAGGAAAAAAAATTAAATTTTTTTAAATCTCGTTCCACATAATAAACAAATGGGGAGGGGGAAAAAAGTTTTTTTTCCCAAATAAATCTGAACTTAAAAAGAAAGGCAAGCAGAGAGAGAGAGAGAGAGAGATTGACAGCTCAATTAAAAACGAACCCTGCACACACACACACACACACAGTCATTGAAAAAAAATCATTGATCACACACACACACACACACTCGAAAGAATTTTTTTTCCATTCCACTCGCTACTTTTCGTTTTCCAAGGAGAAAACTTTTTTTGGGAGTTTAAATTTTTTTTTTTTTTTTTTTGGTTAGGTCTACACAAGTTTCAAAAATATTTCAACCGCACACACACACACACACTACTACAAACGGTCTAATGAAGTAATAGAGAATAATAAATGTCATTATTAAATCTATAACAGGAAAAAAACCGGAAACACAGAATAACCGAATAAAACCGGAAATTTTGAATGAGAATTTTCATTCTACACCCACATTCTATATATTTTTCCAAACAAAATTTCTCACACACCGGAAAGAAAATAAATGAAAAATTTCTTTAATAAAAATAAATAGAAAAAACTTACATTGATTATGATTTCCTTCACTATTTACGGACCATTTATTCTTGTGACTTTTTTTTGTCAATTTTTCATTCATCATCATCATCGTTGCAGTAGTCGTTGTAGATGTTGTTGTTGTTGTTGTTGTTGGAACAGTTGTTGTCGATGTCGTTGATGTTGATGTTTTAATATTTTCATCATCATCATCATCGTTGTACCATTATGATCATTTTTGTCACCATCACCATCATCATCATTATAATGATTGGTCAATAAAGTTGTAGTAGTAATAATAGTAGCAGTTGGTTGAATATTATTCTCTATAGATGTTGTTGAAATGATGGGCGTTGATATTGTTGTTGTATTATTATCTGATTGAATCGATACTTGATTTACCGTTATAGGTAATGATGATGATGATGATGATGGTATCGATTGTATCGATTTATTTTCGATTGTTGTTATATTATTTTGTTGATGATGACCATTTTTTATATTACTATTACTATCAATACTATCAATGTTGATGATGATGATGACGACAAAGATGGAAATGATAAAAATGAGCAAATTTCGTTCCATCTTGATTGTTTGTTTGTTTGTTTCAAATATAAAGATTGTGATCAAATCAAATCAAATCATTAAACAAACCATTAAACTGTGTGTCGATCGGATCGAATCTGGAAAAAAATCTGTAAAAAATGAAAATAAAATGCAAAAAAAAATTAGAAACAAAAATTTTTTTTTCGCCTTGATAACTCAACATGACATTGTAATTGTATCAAAATGTGTGTGTGTGTGTGTGTGAGAAAATCCAAATTAGGTAACACACACACACACATTGAGAGAGACAGAGAGAAAAACATTCGAAAAAAAAATGGCAACCTCGTACACCTTTGTTCGTAGGATGGATGAAAATAATATAGGTGCATATTCAACTCTTTTTTTCTTCCTCAACTTTTTTCATCATCATCATCATCATCATCAAGTTTTGCTGGCAACATATTGAATGTTGGAAAATGAATTTCATTTTCCAATTTTATTTCTCTGTATAAACAAACAAAAAAAAAAAAAAATGGATGGATGGATGCTTACCTCCTCTATTTATATTTTCTTCAATGGCTTTTTATGGAAATTTTTTGCAAAAAAAATTTTTCACCATTGCTGATTGAAGATAATGCACATATTTGGAACAAAACACACACACACACACAGAGAGAAAGTTTTTTCTATTCAACAAATAAACAAAAAATATTTTCCAAGATTATAGATAGCCGTCGCCGTCGTCGTTTTCGTCGATGAAATGAACACAACAATGGCCAAAAATTTTGAATGAGAAAACTAAAATTTTCTGTTCGTGTCGATTTTCAATTGTTTGATGATTACACACACAAACGGATTTTCATCACAAATGAATAATGTTGGAAAATTATTTGTGATCATCATCATCATTCATTCATTCATTGGAGAAAAAAAAACCCGACAACAACGACAACAACAACAAAAGAAAAAACGGCGCGAAAGTCCAGATCAATATAAAATGGGATGATGATGATGATAACCGTTTTACCATTAACAAATGAAATCACGAATATATTTGTTGTCCCGTTCCATACACGCGGTCTTCTAGTACACACTTTGTCCGATCATACACACACACACCGATATACCACTTACCATTAAAAAAAAAGATTCGATTTGCGCATCTTTTTTTATCCATATAAGATAGTGGTATACTTGAAGTGTAAAAGAAAGTAGAAGTGATGTGTGACAAAAAAAAAAAAAAAAGATCAGCAATCTCGCGCCATCTAGTATGATAATCGGTTTACTTTTTTTTAAAAAATTTTTCAAAACAAAAAAAAAAATTCATTCCATATCATTATCATCAGGTTTTGAATTGTTGTTGAATAATTTTTTGAATGAACCAGATAATTTAGCTGACCAATTCTTTGTGGTTGTTGTTTTACATTGTTCTTGTTGTTGTTGTTTTATCGGAGATGGTGGTGGTTGTAGTTTTGATTTTTCATAATTCATACATTTTTCCAGTGAATGATTGATCCGTGCCGATGGTGGTGATGATGATTTAGACGTGAACGAGAATGGATTATCATCTGATTTGTAATTAATTTTTTGTTCAAAACATTTGTTCATCATCATTGGTGGCTGCTGTTTTAACATCGATAATGTACCATAAGTCATGCCACTAATAACGGGATATCCACCACTATAACCATATATTGGTAATGGATCACGATGTTGATAATGGTGGGTAGAAATAGGTTTTTGCATCACAATTGTTTTCGTTATTGGACAATGAACATCATCATTGACATTATTTGGTGTTTGTGGACCAGATGATTTTGTCATCATCATCAATGGACAATAATAATCATTATCTTTATTACCATCGGGCATTTTTATCGGTGGTTTTATCAATTGTTCTTTAAACGGATGATCCGATTGTTTCGATGTCGATTGTGGTGGTGGTGGTGGTGGTGATGGTGGAATTTTAGCAATTTTTGGCCGTAAAATAATACTTTTTTCATCATCATTATCGACAACATCGTCGACATTTAATTCAAATGGTTCGGTCATCATAATGGTTTTTTCCTGCGCCAAAACAATGGAATTTTCTTTTTGTTTTGTTGATTTATTCGATTTTTGCGAATCGATTGTTTCGTCCATTTCTGCTGCTGATGCTGTAGCCACTTTCGAACGTCTTTGTCGTCGTAGTCGTCGTATTCGTTCCTGTTGCTGATCTTGTGGATTAATTCGATCATTATTATTTAATAATTGTTGAATTTTTTGTGCCAATTGTTTCGGCGTTTGATCACGAATATTCTGTGTATCAAAATGATAATTTGGTTTTCGCTGTGAAAATGTTTCACTCAATGTTGTTGAACGTGTTTTTCCATCCATTTTTTGATTTCGTCGTCGACGACTTTTTGAAGATTCCGATTGTGATCGTCGTCGTCGTCCTTCTCTTCCTCCTCCTGTTGATGTTGATGTTCGTCGACTTCGTGAATAACTACTTGATTTTTCATCATTATAACTCATATTCGGTTGTTGTTGTTGTTGTTGTTGATATTTTTGTTGTTTCATTTGCATTTCAGCTGTCAACATTCGTAACATTGATTCATATAATTCAGGTGAACAAAATTCTTTACTTGTTTGTTGATAAATATGCTGTTGTGCTGGTGGTGGTGGTGGTAATAACGGTGATGGTAAATAAGGATGATAAGGTGAAAATAATGCCGCTGGTGTTTGATAAGGATTTGGTGATTGTGTCGTTGCTGGTGCTGGATATCCTTGTATGATTGGATAACCAGAATATCCATAAATCGGTATTGGTTGTTGTGGCATCATCATTGATTTTTCCATTCTACTACTTGATGAACATGATGATCGTCGTCGTCCTCTACCACCGCCACCACGATGATTTTGTGGCATCATTATTAATTGATATTCCGGTTCTTGATTCGGTATTATTGAACATTGACCACCCATATCATAAATATAAAATAACAAAAAAAAACAAAAAAAAAATTATGCCAAATTTTTTGATTTGAATAATCATATATCGAACGTTTTTATATATCAATCAATCATCATCACCTAATTTTATTGTTGAAAAATTTAATTACATCACATACTTTATGAACAAAACAACTTTTCACTACTACTACCACTACTACTAAAATTGCTACTACGACAATCTGGACGATGATGATGATGATGATGATGTTTACATGCATACATCAAAATCTGGTGCATCGATGCGTTTTGACATTGATAATTTTTTTTTTTGCTATTTCATAACATAAAATACAAATGTACTAAAAAACAAACCGAACAAAAACGAGTAATCAAAAAAAAAATTCCATTTAATTTGAATGTGACATTTATGTATGTGTGTGTGTGTGTGTGTACTAAGACGACAACAAAAAGCAACCATCAAGTTAATTTAATATATATCAATAGACGACAGCTAATCAGGTGATCATTGTCGACTTTTATAATTTCGGTAAATCACGTCTTTTTTTTTCATGTTTCACATTTTTAATTTAAAGGCGTCACCATCATCATCATCATCGTTACTTTATTATCATTGATTTCGATTTGAAAGAAAAAAAAAATTCACATTCGAATTGAACCATATACATCATCCCAGTCGTTCGAATTGCATGTTTGTCTGTGACAATTTTAACATTGGTATTTCCAAACCTTGAAAATTTTTTTTTTTACTATACAAAACAAAACAAAAAAAAATCATTCGAACTTTTTTTTTGTCCAGAATTTTTTTTTTTCTATTTTCAAACAATTGATAAACAACAATGAGTTCATCACCAGCAGCAGCAGCAGTTCGTGTTTTAATTACCGGTTTGTTTTGTTTTGTTTTCATTCAAATTATTGGATTGTTAATTTTTTGTTTTCTTGTTCTTGATGAATTACACAGGTGCAGCCGGACAAATTGGTTATAGTCTGATACCGATTGTAGCACGTGGCGATGTATTTGGTCGTGAACAATCAATTATTTTACATTTATTGGATATACCGCCAATGAAAACCGTATTGGATGGTGTTGTAATGGAGATTAATGATTGTGCATTTCCATTGGTACAATCGGTTGTTGCCACCACTGATGAAGCCGAAGCATTCAAAGATATTGATGCAGCATTTTTAGTTGGTTCAATGCCACGTCGTGAAGGAATGGAACGTAAAGATTTATTGGCTGCTAATGTAAAAATATTTGCTTCACAAGGCCGTGCATTAGCTAATCATTCGAAAGCTGATGTTCGTGTATTGGTCGTTGGTAATCCGGCCAATACAAATGCATTGATTGCGGCAAAATTTGCAGCACCAAAAATACCATCACGTAATATAACGGCAATGACACGATTAGATCAGAATCGTGCCCAACATCAGCTAGCTGCACGTAATGGTTGTCCAGTTTCACGTATTGAACGTGTCATCATTTGGGGTAATCATTCATCCACACAATTCCCGGATATTAGTAATGCTTTAATGGATGGACAACCGATTAAATTCGATGGCCATGATGAAAAATTCATACAAACCATACAGAAACGTGGTGCAGCTGTTATTTCTGCACGCAAATTATCATCAGCAATGTCGGCAGCAAAAGCAGCCGCTGATCATATGCATGATTGGTGGAATGGTACAAAAACCTGGGTATCAATGGGCGTCATATCCGATGGTAATCCATATGGTATTGCTGATGGTATAATTTTTAGTTTTCCTGTTGAATGTCATGGACGTGAATGGAAAATTGTTCCAAATCTTAGCTGGGATGATGTGGCTAAATCACGAATTCAAACAACAGCTGATGAATTATTGGCCGAAAAACAAGATGCATTATCCGAAACGGAAAATGCATAAATCAATTGTTGTGTCAAAATTGTGAATCATGAAAAAAAAAAATTGTCAAGTAAAAAACAAAAACAAACAAACAAAAAAAATTAGACCAAAATTTCCATAATATTTCTCTATATATTGTTATTGTTGTTGAATTATTTTTTTTCCAATAATTTTTTTCTTTGTTGAACCCACTTTTGATGCATTCAAATTTGTTTCAGTTCCATAATTGTTGATTAATAAAAAAATAAAATTCCAACGAGCTATATATCACTACGATGATGATGATGATGATGATGATGAATCATTTTGTTGAATTTCTTGCCACAAACGTTCACGATGAAATACCAATACATCAAGCCAATTTTGTTGTCGAATTTCATTGCACATTGCGATCGTATAGCTTAGATAGAAACGTAATTTTTGTTGCAATAATTTTGCTTGTTGTTTGTTGTTGTGAATTGATTTTTCTTCATTTTCGTGATGATTTTTCTTCATTTGTAATCGAATATTTCCAATAATACGATAAAGATCACTTAATATCAGTACGATTGCTTTTGGTGATTGATGATTAATTTTATCCGTTGTTGTTTGTACAAATAATCGACGACCAGGTTTATTCCAATCAATTATGATTTGAAGATCATCAAATAATTGAATGATGGTTGCTTTCCGTTGATTAACATTGATTAATGGATCATCATGGTCATCATCATCACGATCGATTGTTAACATTCGTTCGATTAATAACTCGATTGTATCGAATGGTTTTTCCGTTCGAATCGAGACGTTTGGCTGTAATTCCGGAACGATATGAAAAAGTTTTTCCACAATGGACCATTGCCATAATTTGTGATCATCATCATCATCGTTGGCTGTATAAACATTTGAATTTTCAATTTCACCATTATACAATCGACATAGATAACAATAGGCAAAACATAAAGAAATTATTGAATGTATCAACAATGGTGATGGTGATTTTTGTGATAATAATTTTGAAATTGGTTCAATTCCATGATCGTCATTTAAAAGCGATGGATATGGCCGCTGTTTGCTAGCATTTAGAGTATCAACATCTTCAACAATTGCTTGCCATTCTTGTTGACACCACCATGGTTTCCATTCGGGAATTATTCGATCAAAATATCCAGGATTTGTTTGGACAATTTCAGCAAATTCTTTTCGTTCAGATTCTGTTAATCGATCAGTCCAAATGGAATCTAAATCAACATTATCATCCACACAAATGGACAATATACGTTCCATAAATTGATGCATTCTATCATCATCAATCCAATCCAGATCTATTTCTTCTGTTTCATTCGAATCATTTTCACTAGACGTATTCAATATGTCTACATAATCTTTGAATACTGATTTCGTCGTAAAATATCCATAAATTCTTTGTTATCATCATCAACACGAACATTTTTCAAATGTTCCATAACCATACGTTTATAGAATTGTTCCGAACAATCATAATGAGCCGGTGATCGAAAACATTCAATCGAACAATATGGTTGATGACATTTGGAACATTCATAATGGCCATTTTGGTTGGTGCAGCTATTTGGGTATTGAAACAAAAATTTTTTTTGAAAAAATTTCATCAACCAAAAAAAATGCCATACTCACAAATGACAACGTCGATTCTTTGATGCAATCAATGTGAAACGTTTCAATCTTTTTGGCACTGATTTTCGATGGTAAATATTCAGATTAAGATTCGGATTCATTGGACAATTATCTTTCAAATCAGATCATGAAAAACAGAAAAAAAAATTCTCAAAAAAATCAAAATAAAAAAAATCGGCATCATTGTCAACATTGTTCATAAACGGCGTTACGGTTGAAAATTCGAATATTTTTTTTCGGGTCAAATCGAAAAAATTATTGGGTCAAAAAACAACGATAATGATGATGATGATGATGATGATTCCAACAATCATGTGACCATTAGTCCAACAATCCGAATAATAATAATAATGTGTAATGGTCGAAAGATTGAAACAAAATGAATGAATTGTCAAGTCATCGATTGGTTTGGTAAAAAAAATATGAAATTCTACATATCATAAACATGGAATATTTATTCATTTTCATCCGAATTTAGATTACAACAACAACAAACCACAACAGCAGCAAAACCATCCCATCCGACCGACATGTGATTGCTGAATCATTTTCTGGGTTAAACAGCAGAAAAAAAAACAATGAAAGGTTGGTTCTGTTTTTGTTTTAAACAAAACAAAAAGACTTTCCTTGAATTCAATGATTTTCCATTGATCTTGGAGATTTCATATACAAACATACACACAAAAAAAGAAAAATTTTTTCAAGAAATTTTCAAGATTTTTTTTCATCTTTTTTTAAAGTAGAAAAAAAAATTGAAGAGGATGTCGCCAAAATGACGCAAAAGAAAGAACGAATTTCGTATATTCATTCATCATTCATCCATATACACAGGTATGCATGTTGTTCACGGTTATTATATTCGAATGATTAAGCAGATAATTATTGCTCATGATGATGATGATGATGATAATCATCAACACCATTTTTTTTTACCGATTCGTTCCCAATGTAATATTTTGTGTTTGTAAAAACATTTTGTTTTTTTTCCTCATCATCAATCAAACAAAACAAAACAAAAAGTGCATTCAAAGTTTGATTACAATTGACTTTTGAAGAATAACACTGAGGAAAAAGTTTCGGTACGGTTGTTTCTAAAAAAAAAAAAAATATAAAAATTTTTCCATCGAAATAATGGTTGCAAGTGATGCTGGATTCGAAATTTGTTCGGACAATGAACATTTGAATGATGGTCATCATAAAACATCATGTTTTAATCAAAAATTTGATGAAAATTTTCGTACATCAACAATGATGACCACAACAACCACAACCACAACGGCAACGGCTGAACAAAAGATTCGATTTGAAAACGGAAATGCCGAGACTTCTACGACAACAATATTACGACAAACAAACGATACGATTATTGTTCCAATGAATGATAAATCAAATTCAGTGATTGAAATTCCAAATTCATATTCCGTTAGCTATCATCCGGAATTGTCGCCAGTTTCATTATCATCATCATCATCTAATTCATTATTTGAAACATCGTTATTATCATCATCATCATCATCATCATCATTCTTGGATCCTTATTATCCTGTAAATAATTATAATCAAAAAAATCATCATTATGATCAAAAATCATATCGGCGATATAAATCCTTACATAAACGAACGATACGACGACGAAAAATAATTCACAATGATGATGATGATGATGATGAAATTGAATGCGTAAATCGAACGACAACAAATACCAATGGCAAACAGCAACAACAACAATTTGAAACAAAAATCATTGATTCAATACAAACACGTGATAAATATTATTCTAGTGATCCAAGATCAATGATTGAACCATCGATTGTTATCAGATTTCTATGCTATTTTAGTTATATGATTCTTGTCATTTTTGGCTATTTTCGTATGTTTATGGAATGGCTGAATTTAGGTGATTATAACACAATTATTGAACGTAATCGAAAGGTTTGTTTGGTTTATTCTTTATATTGTGATGAAATAATTTGATCAAAAACAATCGATTAATCGAATTTGGATTTTTTTTTTTTTTAAACAGGATTATCGTCCATTATACAATAGTTGGCAAGCATTTTTCACCCGTTATATTTATCGTCGTGTTGCCGATATATTTGCCATACCGATTACGGGAAATCCTGGCGGTATCGTAACAGTTCTTGAACGAGAATCAAATGATAGAAATTTTACATTTCAATTGACTGGAAAACAATTTGATTGTATTAATCTTGCATCATATGATTATCTAGGATTTTCTCGTCAAAGTTCATCAGATCCATCGATTGAACAATCCATACGTAAATATGGTGTCGGTATTAATGCCATACATGAAATTGGTTGGTGATCATAAAATTTTTAAAAAAAAATTTAATTGAAATTTTTTTTAAATACCAAAATCAATATTGATCAATAAAATTTTTTTTTCTTTCTAAATTATTCTGTTTTTATTGAATTTCTCTTTTTTTATACATAGGAATGTTAGATTTACATCGAAAATTGGAACAAAAATTTGCTGAATTTTTACAAGTAGAATCCTGTATAGTATTCGGCATGGGTTTTGCCACCAATTCAACAAACATTCCTTCATTGGCCGATAATGATTGTTTAATACTAGCTGATTGTCGTAGCCATGCTTCAGCTAAATCTGGTATCTATTTATCTGGTGCAACATTCGATTATTTTAAACATAATGGTAAATATAATATAATAAAATTTTAATGTGGTCCAAGATTTTTTTTTTTGTTTTGTTTTGTTTAACCTAACCTTACCTAACCTAACCTATAATAATCATAAAAAAATAGATTGTAATGATTTGGAACAAAAAATCTGTAATGCCATTTTGTATGGACATCATGGTAAACCGTGGAAAAAGATAATCATAATTGTTGAAGGTGTTTACAGTATGGAAGGAACAATTGTTGATCTACCAAGATTGATTGAATTGAAACAAAAATATAAATGTTATCTTTATGTGGATGAAGCACACAGTATTGGTGCTGTTGGACCAAATGGCCGTGGCATTGTTGATTATTTTGGCTGTGATCCTAAAGATGTTGATCTTTTGATGGGTACGATGACCAAAAGTTTTGCTGCTGCTGGTGGATATTTAGCCGGTGGTAAACAATTGATTGATCATATTCGACAACATTCATTATCCAATTATGCTGGTAGTATATCGGCACCGATTGCACAACAAATAATCAATACATTATCAATATTATTATGTGATCGAAATAATATTATCGATACGGAAGGTTGGTTTGTTGTTGTTTCGGTAATTTTTTTCAATTTCATAAAAAAATTCAATTTTTCTTCACCTAAGGACAACGACGAATTCAACAATTGTTATCAAATACACATTATATGCGTGATCGTCTTCGAAATTTAGGTTTTGTAATAGCTGGTCATTATGATTCACCAGTAATACCAATAATGATTTATATACCAGCAAAAATTGGTTCCGTCGTTAGGATGGCCGTAAAGAATGGTTTGGCATTAGTTTGTGCCGGTTATCCAGCCACATCTTTGACAACAAATCGTATCCGTTTGTGTATGACAGCACAACATTCACGTGAAACATTAGATCAAGCCATACGTATTCTAAGCATGATTGGTGATGTTCATCACATTAAATATCAACGTTATGGTGTTCTATGATAAAAAAAAATTTAAAATAAAAACAAAAAAACATTTGATAAGTGAATATGACGACAAAGTTCTTTAAAGAGATTCAAAGAGAGTGAAAAAAAATATTCAGAAAATTATCGATCTAATCAAATTGAAATTTCAGATAATGTAGGTAAGGAATCGAAGTATTCATCATTGCTTTTCATTTTGAAGGAAAATTACGCATTGAATCCACTTACTTGATCATAATAATTTCCAATCATTGGGCGGGGGGGAACCTGTGGTGGAAAAAAAGAAAAAAAATTAGCAATTTTGAAATCACAGTAAATCAATAAATTCGAATAATAATCGAAAAAAAATCAGAATAAAATGTTTTTCATCAATTGGAAATTTTCAGATAATGTAGGTAAGGAATCGAAGTATTCATCATTGTTTTCTTTTCGAGAAAATTTTGAAAAAATTTTTGAAAAATTAAACTCACCAATTTGCAAAATGCAAAATAAACACACACACACACACACACACAGCAGCAGCAGCAGCCCAAATGCACGTGGAGGAAATGAATTCGAACGATGATTATGATACAGACGAAAAAAAATGAATTAATCGATTGTTCCAATCGATAGTATCCTTATTGCACTTGGATTCGATTTTCAATGCATCTGATTCAAAAAAAAAAAATAAATTTTTGATTTGATTGATTAAAATGATCACCATTGATCGTGTTTTTTCAAATTTATAATTATTTTGTTTGTTTGTTGTAAAATGTTTACTTACCATACTGAATCATCGATAATCATACGTTTATTGTTTCGAATTATTCGAATAAATCATCGTCGATTCGTCTTGTCGTCACAATGTTTGAATAAATCCTATACACAAACATTGAATCTACCGCAAAGTAATTTTCCCATGAAACATTCACGTAAATTAGAGCTTAATCTTGAACAACAGGTAAGTTTTGTTTACTTAGTGTATTGTCATTTGATCGAAGCAATTTGTTTTTCTTGTTTCATAGAATGTGAAATTTGAAGATTTATTTGGAATATCGTCACAACAAAGAAAATGTGGAAAATTCCTATTACATGATGGTCCACCATATGCAAATGGTGATGCACATTTTGGCCATGCCATCAATCGAGTTCAGTGTTGTATTTTTATTCATTTCTTTTTTTTTGGATTTTGATTGATTTTGTTTGTTTTTCATCCGGATCATATAGATTCTTAAAGACATAATTAACAAACGAAAATTATTGGAAAATTTTTATGTCGATTTTCGTCCCGGTTGGGATTGTCATGGATTACCGATCGAATTGAAAGCGATACCGAATAATTCGGATTCTCGCCGATTAAATCCATTAGAAATTCGTGATCGTGCACGAAGATTAGCTTTCAATGCAATTGATCGTCAACGGCAAGCATTCAATCAATGGTTTTTATCCGCTAATTGGTCCGGCATTTATCGGACAATGGATTTGGAATATTCTATTCGTGAATTGCATGCATTCTATGATATGTACCGTAAAGGATTGATATTTCGTGATCGTATGCCGGTTTATTGGTCACCATCCACACGAACAGCATTGGCTGAAGCTGAACTTCAATATCAAACAGATCATTTATCACGTGCTGCCTTCATACGATATCCAGTGGTTGATCAACATTATGATGCCTTAATTTGGACTACAACACCATGGACATTGTTGGCCAATGAAGCAATTGCTTTCGGTGAAAGAATGAATTATTGTTTGATTCGTATCGATGGTGATAATAATCAACGACCATTACTAATTGCACGAGAAAATCTTGTCACCATTCAGGAAATGTTCAAAGATTGCCGCATACAAATTGTTCAAGAATCAATTTCAGAATTTCAAAATTTTCGTTATCAAGATCCAATTAATGGCCAATGTAAATCATTTTTACCTAGTACATTGGTCACATCATCAAAAGGTACTGGCCTCATTCATATAGCACCGAATCATGGACAAGAAGATTTTAAATTAATGAGACAATTTTTCTGTAAACAGCCAAATAGTGATAATAATTATCTGATGAGCAAAGAATCTATTGTCGATGATGATGGAAGATTACGATTACCGAATAATGGTGGCCAATCCATATCAATAATCGATGATAATCAAGCATCAAAATATGTTTTACAAAATTTATTACCTAAAGAATGTGTTCTTTATGAACATGATTACCTACATAGTTATCCATATGATTGGCGTAGTTCAAAACCTGTCATTATAAAACCATCTGATCAATGGTTTTTGAATATGGATGAACTTCGCGATAAATGTTTAGCTGCATTATCCGATGTACGTCTTTATCCAGAATTATTACGAAAAGAAATGATAAATCAATTATCAACAAGACCTAATTGGTGTCTATCACGACAACGAAAATATGGTGTACCAATACCGGTATTTTTCGATCGAAAAACTACCCTTCCCGTTTTGAATGATGAAATTTTTCAAACTTTGATGAAGAAATTCATTCAAGAAGGTTCATTAGATATTTGGTGGCAACAATCACCATCAGAATTGTTGGCCGAATGTCCAGATCGTTCGTTGGATCTAGTCAACCTGGAAAAAAGTGAAGATATTCTTGATATTTGGTTTGATTCTGGTTGTAGTTGGCTTGCCGTTCTTGGTCCAGATGAAATAGCTGATCTTTATCTTGAAGGTGTTGATCAAATACGTGGTTGGTTTCAATCATCATTGATAACATCGGTTGCTCTTCGTGGCCATGCACCATATCGATCTATTATAATACATGGATTTGCTCTCGATCGTGATGGTTATAAAATGAGTAAATCATTGGGAAATGTTATCAATCCAATGGATATTGTCAATGGAAATGCATTTGAATCAAATCAACAACAGACATCAACGAAGAAACGAAAAAATTCTGGTGATTGTGGTGTCGATGGATTACGTCTTTGGATTGCACGTAATGCCTGTACACATAATGATGTACACGTTGATTTAAAAGAATTTCAAGATGATATCCTAACCATTTTGAATCGATTTCGTAATACATATCGATTCATTCTTGGTTATCTAACAAAATATTCACCATCAGATCACTCATTTTTAATTGATTATAATAATCATCATCATCATCAATCATTACCATTAATTGATCAACATCTTTTATATCAAACATGGATATTTGATCAAAAAGCACGAAAATGTTATAATGAATATCGACTTGGTGATCTTATCGAGATGATGATACATTTTTTTAATTATGAATTTTCAACATTTTACCTATCACGTATTAAGGATCGTCTTTATTGTGATTCAACTGAATCGATGGATGTTCGATCCATTATGACTGTTTTATATTATGTATATCATACCGTTGGATTTCATATGGCACCGATATTACCACATTTGATTATTGAATGTCAACAATATTGGCCATTTGTTCATCAAGCTGTGATAGGCAATAATAATAATAATCGAATGATGAAGGAGAATCTGGAACAATCTGAATTATTATTGAAACAATTTCAATTCATACAATCAATTATTGCTTGTATAAATGAATGGGCTACATCGAAACATCGTTTAATCGATTTGGATTGTCATCTTTCGATATCGGCAAATCATCCAAATGTTCGTGAAATGTTTGCTACATTTCAAAGGTTTCAACCTGAATCATCAATTAATGATGATGGAATGGAATGTCGTTCAGATTTAGTTGAATGTCTTCAAGTAGCACGTGTATCTTACGGAATCGATGATAATGATAAATCAACTGTCAATGATCAATATTATCATGGTGAATGTTTAGAATTACGTGATAAGATACCATCATCATCATCAAATACTGCAATTGAATCAAATCACAATGGCTGTCAACTACGAATATATTTAAAACAAACAAAAAATCATCAATGTCCAAGATGTCGTCGTTTTACTGTCGTCAATGTCGATCAAAACAATCTATGTTTACGATGTAATTTTCAAATGTTACATCATCATAATTGATTGAAGTGAAATATAGAAAAATCATCATCGTTTGTTATTCACACTACAAACAGAAAATTTATTTATTTATTTTTTTTGTTTTTAATTAATTTCAAGTTATATTCATCATCATCATCATCATCCGATCAATCAATCAATCAATCAAATATATATAAATATCATGTATAAATTACACAGCAAGCGAACAGATAAAGAAAAGTAAAGAAAAGACAGAGGTGTGTGTATGTGTGTGTGTGTATGTTACAACAAAAACAACGTCCACATGTAAGGAATGTTTAATTTTTTGTTTATAAAGAAAATGAAGAAATGTAGGTATGTAAAGAAAAAAAATTGACGACCAAATTTATGGATCGGCAGTGATACTGTTTTTTTTTGTTTGTTTGTTTGTTTAAAAACATATAATTAGAGCATTGATGATGATGATGATGACGATGTAATTGATAAGGAAATTTTTTTTAGATGAATAAAAAAACCGAAGACTAGGTTAAAAGATCATTTGATGAAATAGTATTGTGTGTGGTGATGTTTTTGGTCCAGCCAAAATAATCGATCATGACCAGCTGCTGATGTAGATGGTTTTTGTTGTTGTTGTTGTTAAATAAAATGGAAATAAAATAAATTTTACAATTCTGGGTTTTTTCTTTTTTTAGGAAAATATTCGTGTGTTTGATTTGGAATGTTTTTTTTTAAACGGGAATTTTATGGGATGTAATGATTTTGTTTTGATGTTGTTCCGTGGTGTGATATGCTGGATTTAGATGAATGAAAACAAAACAAACTTTTGAAGAGGGAAAATAATTGATGCTTCTACATTCAATGTTGATGATGATTTTTCTCTTTTTTTCATTCTTTCTATATTCATTTTTCGATACCATTATTATTTTATTTATTATTATGGTTGAAGACGTTGATCAATGTTTGGAATGTTTTTGTTTTATTCAAGGACTAGTCGGTGAATATGGTTGTTGACCGGTACCACCACCGGCTTGAAATCTCATTTCATCTCGATTTGCTCTGAAAAAAAACAACAGAATTTGAGTATTTTTGTTTTCTATCTTGATTATTTTTTTACTTACTTTCGTCCAAGAACAATTTTACCATAAAGGGCTGCAATGGCACCATTGGCCAAGAAACCAAGTATGAAAAAGAAACCAATACAACCAAATGATAGGCCAACGATGAATGGAATAAGAGCCAAACTAAATAAATCATTGATGATAAATAAATAATAAATAAATCACCACTAACAATTATACTTACGCTGCATAGAATGCTCCTTTAAACCAATATGGTTTGCCTTCAATAAACATACCAATAGGTCGTGCAAAGGCTAAAAATGGTACAAATGATGGTGCTTCAATCGATAATATTATACCAGATGCAACTCTATTTTTTTTATAACGAAAAAAAAAATAATGCAAATCAAAAAAAAATTGTGTTTATAATGATTTAAAAATAAACTTACAATTGAAGTATACCAGGTACAATACATCCAATATTGATTGGACTAATAGCCGTTATTATGCCACAAATGACTAAAAATATTGCCAATCCTGTTGTTATTTGGCTTGACCAGGATTCTACCCACCATGTAGATTGTGGTCCTTGACCATTTGCATTCGGTGACATTGGATCCATCATTTTTATTTATTTATTTGATGATTTATGATGATTAATCGAATATAATAAAATTATTAATTTTTTCCGAATCAAATCGAAGAAAAAAAAACATCAACAATGACTTTGATAAAAAAAACTATTTATGGCAGCCAAAAAATAATAGGGCAGATAGACTGACACACAGACACACAAAGCCAATGATGATGATGATGATGATGAGAAATGATGAATTGTATTGTAAAAAAAAGGCAAACGTCTGTTTTATTGTTGTTGTTGTTGTTGTTTCTGGTTGGTTGGTTGTAGTTGATGAAAAAATAATCAAAACTAGAGAAAAAACGAAGAATCGAATGTGAATTCACATAGAATCGAATCAGATCAAATCAATCGATCAATGCCAATAACAAATGAAACAAGATCAGATTGATAATCTTTTTTTTATGAATTCAATGATGATGATGATGTTATCCAAAGATAAAAAATAATGCTTTTACCACCACCCACTAATACACACACACATACAAATACAGATAAATCAATGACAATGTGTCGATGATGATGATGATGATGATGGAACACAGCAGCACATCAGAGATATATGAAACCCAAAACCAAAACCAAAACCAAACCAAACCAAACCAAACCAAAAAAAAGTAGAATACAAACGTTAAATTGTCAAATTTTTCGGCACAATGGAAAAAAAAATACTTTTACACAAACACAAACGAACAATCGAACACACAAGAGATAGAGAGAATGACCGAGAATAAAATATATATATTTTTTTTTTTTTTTTGGTTATGATGAATTTGGTAGTGGTATTAAAATGATGGGTCGATTGTTCTTTGTTGGCAGGGGTAGATAAATATGAATGTAGCACGAATTTTAAAATACAAAAAATGGGGCTACTAGCTATCTTTTTACCCGTTTGATTTTCTCATCTTTTTTTTTTTTCTCATGCGTTTTCAAATTTGGTAGTGGCATTTTTTTTGTCGACTTTACGGGTATATCGAATTTAGTAGTAGTAGTAGTTGTAGTAGTAGTAGTATTGATTGAAAAAAAAGAATGGGTGTTATGTAATTACATTATATACGCCATCTAGTGTTGGATACAAATGTAAACAAAACAAAAAAAGGAAAATTCGAATGAAAAAAATGAATTTATTTCAAAAAAAAAATCATACAAATACAAATGTTTTATATATAATATGAAAAACTTTTTTTACAGAAAAAAAATGATACAAAAAAATTAATTAACCAATACAATGAAAATCTTCATCAGTAATCAATTGTCGTTGTTTGCGAATACCAAATGATAGTAATCGTTTCAATGTTTGTTTTGTACGTAGCCGTTTCATTTGTCGTCGTTGTTGTTCACGATTTTCCACCGATTTTGTTATACGATTCAGGAATAATTGAAAAAATGGTTTCAAATCTTTAGCTGCACTTGAACTATGTACAATATATGAACGTGTTTGATTGTTTGGCAATGATTTAGCAACATATTCAGCCAAATTTTCTTCACTCACTTCACGATGATAGATTTTTGAGGTTTTTGCATATGCCAATATGTAAATTGGTTTATCATATTGGGGATTATTTGCCAAAATTTTTCGATCCAATATTTCATCTTCAAAAATGATCCAGCTGAATGTAGTGAACAAACACCAACAACAGCTTCGGTATTGTTCCAATAAATCGGTGCCAAACGATCATAACGTTCGAAATTGATAACGAAATTCCAGATATCCACGAATACATGACGATTACGATGACGATACGGTATTGTGTTCAATTGTACACCCATAGCCGGTTGTTGTCCAACACGATGACGACCAATTGCACGACAATGTTCATAATTGAAAAAGAAATACAATTTCGATGAATCCGGTAATGAACCAAGAAGTAAGATTTTCGGATTTTTCGGACAATCCAAATTGGATAACTTTTTCAAAATAGCCATAGTTCGGAAAATCAGCAAAAAAAAATTGTAGAAAAAAACGAAACTGACCACTTGTGAACGATGATACAAACTGACCATAGATCATGGGGTTATATATACACAAAAACCATATGGCCCTTAAAGGCCTAGCATGTTTATTGCCCACACACACACACACACACACGCGTATACACTTGACATGGCCTACATGTGATACGTGACATGACGTGTTACAAGCGATAGCACGTTTTACTTTGTATGTATTCGTTGCTGGGTACATTTTGTTATTGCGATAAGAAACTGATACACTCTATTACTTGCTATATTGATTGATTGTAATGATAACAAGATTCTTGTTTCTGCAACTTGTTTTTGGCTTATCAAATAAAATTATCGAAAATTTGAATACAAACAAATTTGGCAAGAAAAAAAGTGATCACGATCACGTTGTTTTGTTTTTTTTTTTTAGCGCCAAAAAATACAATGCAGACAACAGAAAACAAAATACTGAGAATTTCGATCGCCACCTAGCGGCCATGAGCATACGAAAACACGTTTTTTTTCGGATACTGGCGCCAAAATCAATAAATTGATTGTGTTGGCGTTTTTTTTCCACGCTTTGCAAATAAAGTGCGGTTTTTTAATTACAAAACAAACCCAAAACCAAAGGTTTTTTTTATTTACCAGAAAAAAAAGTTACCACCACCAACCACACCCCACCACAAAACAAAGAACAAAAAAATTTACAAAAAAAGCAAATTAAAAAACAAAAAGAAAAAATCAAAATGAGAAATGCTTGTCCCAACCCAAATGTTTTTTTTTTGACCAACGCTCGAAATATTTTTTTAGGCACGTTCACCACGAATTCTTCGTGCTAATTGAATATCTTTAGGCATAATTGTAACACGTTTTGCATGAATAGCACATAAATTAGTATCTTCAAACAGGCCAACTAGATATGATTCTGATGATTCTTGTAATGCCATTACAGCCGTAGATTGAAAACGTAAATCGGTTTTAAAATCTTGCGCAATTTCACGTACTAATCGTTGAAATGGTAATTTACGTATAAGTAATTCAGTGGATTTTTGATAACGACGAATTTCACGTAGAGCAACTGTTCCAGGACGATAACGATGTGGTTTTTTTACACCACCAGTGGCTGGTGCTGATTTACGGGCAGCTTTTGTTGCCATTTGTTTACGTGGTGCTTTACCACCGGTTGATTTACGTGCTGTTTGTTTTGTACGAGCCATGGTCAAGATTTTTTTCGTTTGTTGATGCTGAAAAATTGATGATTAAAAACTAAAAAAAGCCAAAAATAGAAATTGAAAGATTGTCGGGTAGTAGTAGTGTAGAGTAGTAAAAAGCCAGAATTTGTTGAATTTTTTTTTTTATTCAAAATCTTGGAGATCCTGAGTGTGAAGCTGTTGTTTATTTCGAAAAAAAAACTGAAAATTGAAATTCGTTGTGATGATGAGAGAAAAGATGAAGGTGATGAATTGTTATCGATGATTTTTGTTTACGATTTTGAACACATTGAAAAAAATTCGAGATCATCGGTAAAAAAAAAAATGCACAAAAAAAAATACCCAAAGAGGAAAAGGAAATTTGGCCAACCACACCGAAGAAAAAAAAAAAGAAACAAACCACCCAGGATAAAGGGAAACCCAATGGGGAAAAAAAATTGAACAAAGTTATGTAGGAAGAAAATTGAAGAATTGTAATATCGAAAACACGAATGATCAGGGCTTTTTATATGGAAAAAAAAACCGCGAGAATCTCTAAATACGGACAGACAGACATGGTTCAAAGGCGTGATCATATTTTCAAACCAGCCAATCATGATTAAAGGCGCAAAAATTTAAAAATTTTCCACAAATCATCAATTACAGTACATGCGTAGTTTGCAGATGAAAATTGAGTCAAAAATACTTGATTGGTTAGTCGTGTGTATACCACTTTGTCCGACTATATAAAGCTCGTTTATGATCATTCATTTAGTGTGATTGTTGTTTGCCAGCGTCATCTAAAAAGATTTTCTTTTTCGAATTTCTATTTCAATAATAATTGGCAATATTTTTTTTTCTCGATAATATTCCACAACATAAATAATCACATCATGGCACCACCAAGTACTGGAAAAGCGGTAAAAAAATCTGGTAAAGCCCAGAAATCTGTTCGTGTATCGGATAAAAAGAAAAAACATCGCCGCCGTAAAGAATCATTCTCAATCTATATCTATAAAGTATTGAAACAAGTACATCCAGATACTGGAATATCATCCAAAGCAATGTCTATAATGAATTCATTTGTGAATGATATTTTTGAACGTATAGCTGCTGAAGCATCAAGATTATCACATTATAATAAACGTACCACAATTACAAGTCGAGAAGTACAGACTGCTGTACGTCTTTTATTGCCTGGTGAATTGGCCAAACATGCTGTATCCGAAGGTACAAAAGCTGTAACCAAATATACATCAAGTAAATAAGAAACCAAGACAAATCGATATTGATCATCTACGGCTAAATGAATAGGATCTTTGAATTTAATTTGATTCCTTTTTTTTGGACCATTTTGTTTAGTTTTTCTTTTTAACTTTCATGAAACACTATTATTGTGTGTGTGTGTGTGTGTGGCTATTTAATATTCATTATTATCCAATCCTCACTTTTTTTCTCTCATTTGATATATCTAATTACTACTTTCTTTTTTTCTTTTGATTAATTAAATAATAAATAAATGCAAATTTTCTCATTTTAATCATTAGGTTTCAATGTTCTTAATTTTTTTTTTTTTTGTTCGGTTCAAATCAAAATATATTAGAGATGTAAATTCCATTTGTTTTGCTGCTCAAATTTTCTATATCCACCCGAAATAGTCATCGTTTGATGGAAATAGTGTGTGTAATTCAATTTCAAATTCCATTTTCCAAACTAATCATCATTTAGAACTAAATGATCTTTAATCATTATCATTGCATTTGATTGTTGATTTTTTTGTTCCAATTTTTGTGCCAATAAACGTGATTTTGTTTCAAATATTACACGTAGATCACGCCACATTTCCATCTGTTTTTTATAATATTGTTCTTTTTCTTTCCATTCAATTTCATGTCGGCGAAGATTTTCCTGTAATTTTTGTTCAGAATCAATTTCCATTTTTAATTGTTCAATTAATCGATTAGATTTATCCATTCCAAGTAATTCTTTTTGTTCAATTTGTAATGCTAATAATCTGGTTTGAATTTCAAATTGTTCAGCAATCAAATCATCACGTTCACCAATAAGTCTTTCGAATTCAGATTCACGTCTACTGAGTTCGGCTTCTAAACCAGCTGCAGCTGAATCATATAGACGTTTTTTCATATCAAATTCAGATTCAGCTTCATTCAATTCTTCTTTCAATATTCTAACCTCTTTGGTTACATCGACCAAAGATGATTTGATTTGTTCTAATCGATCCTGAAAATTATCCACTTGTCTATTGATCTCTTCATAATTTAATTGTTCTTTGTCATTATCATCATCGATATTATTATCTTCATCATCATCCAAAGCATTGAGGGTGGATTCTTTCATTTGAAAATAACCTTCTAATCCAATGGTTTCTTCACTTTCTTGTATCTCTTCCAATGTTTCTTTCTCCTGTTGTCTTAGTGACCGAAGTTTCGATTGTAATTCATCAATATCACCACTTATACGGCTTAATTCTTCTTTCATTTCATTCATTTCGGTTTCACGACGTGAAATTTTTTCAATATATAATTTCAACTATCCATGGGGCAAAGAAACAAAAATTATGAACTGGCCACAGTTAACATATGATTATTTAGAAAAACTTACAGCATCACCACGTAAAGTTGATTCACCATCTACAGAGAATTTTGCACGTAAATCTTCCAATTCAGCCTGTTGCGTGGCCAATTGATGTTCCAATTGTTCACATTGTTTGATTGCATCTTCTTTTTTCTTGGCCACAACCTGTGCATTCTGTCGATAATGTGAAAGTCGATCCTCTTCACTCTGTTTATCTAGTAATTTTTTCTCCACCAATTCATTGATTTCATGTGTCAATACTTGTACCTGTGTTACTGTCCGTTGTAATTGTTCAGTAACATCTGAATCGGCATGTTGTTGTGTTTTTTCCATATCACGTACCAATAATCGTAAATCGGTCAATTCATTTGGCAATACATCTTTGACCAATTTAGATTTAATATCAATCTCATCTTTATAGCGGTAAAGCATAACTTCTGGTGATTGTATTGATTCTTGCCAATCTTGAACATTCAATTCATTTAATTCTGTTTGTTGTTGTTCCAAATGTTTTTTAGCCATCACTATTCGTTCTTGTTGTTCACGTAATTGTCTTTGTAGTTTTTCATTTTCATGTCGTGCCATCACAAAGGCACGGACCGAATCGAATTTAATATTATGCACAGAATTCGAAGTTTCAATCATATCCAAATTTACACGACGTTTTACAATGTCTAATTTGTTTTTGATTTGATCTTTTTCCAATTCCATGGTTTTGATATCTTTTTGAAGTTCAATAATTGAATCGATAGATTTTTTTTGCATTTCATGTGAACTATGAATTCGTTTGAATTCATCGATTAGATTCAGATATTGTTGATATAATATCATGACATCTTGATCACCTTCCACATCAGGTGATAATTCAATTTTGACTAGAAAATGTGCAAGATATGCACGTTTTTTTAGCAACGGTAATCGTCTTAAAAGCCATTCAATAATATTGGTCAAAAGATCTTTATCGGCCATTATTAGATTTTTACGAAATTCAACGCTACAACAACGAAATTTGAATTTTTTTTTTGTATTCAAATTTTCTGACATTTATATATGATATGATACTCACGGATTACTATGAGATGATGGTGGTGAATATTTAAATATTCGTAATGTATCCAAAATGGTGGCTACAATATCTTCAATATTACCAACACGAATGAATGGTAAATTCAACTACATGAAAAACAACAATTTTTAATTATCCATTACAAACTCCAGAAAAAAAACGCATACCTTTGGATCGATAATATTGAAAATTTGTATCAAAAGATCAAGACGTTGTTCTTCACGTAGATTATCATATGAAATGAGATTTAAATTCTGATTAAATGGTGGTTGATTTAATTCATCGATTACAAATTTTATTTGATCCATTATGGTTTTCTCTAAATTTTATTGTTTTTCAATTTTCGAAAACAAAAAAAAATTTGAATAAAAAACAGACACACACAGACAAACAAAACGATCGAACGCGCGGTTGTCATGGTAATAAAATAGTCCACATATCACGTTTTGATTTGATTTTTTTTTTTTTTGTTTCTCACAATTTTCAAGAATTTTAATTTTTCATAATAATAAAATAATCTTTCCATTTGACAATAATGTTTAAAAAAAATACAATTAAAAATCACTGTGATGTGAACATATGATGATGATGATGATTTGTGCACAATAATTAATAATAAAAACAACAACAACAATGATAAAAAAAAATTCCTATAAGATTCGAATACAATAACAACAACAACAACAACAATGATAAAAAATAAAATAATTGAAAATATTAACCCCTAACGACTAATCAATAATATTACACAAACATTGGATGATGTGATGTGTGTGTGGGTGATGATGATGATTATTGCAATAATGAATGAATGAATGAATGATGAACGCTGTTTATTAAATCTTTTCTAGAAATCTTTCCAATCTTTGTAAACTGATTGGTATATCAATCTTTTGTAAATCACAAGTCAAATCTGTAGCTTGTAATGGTGAAATGTTATTGTCAAAATTTTTATCAATAAATGGAATGTATAATGGAAATTCACGTGCCGTATTCATCAGATATGATGTTGATGTTTCAGTTTGTGTTGTACCACCTGTGTGTGTGTGTTTACAGAATACAGAATAAAATGAATGAATGAATGAATGAATATTTTGATTCACACAACCACCAATAATACTTACCATCTTTTAATAAACGTTGTTCTTGTAATTCTTTATTAAGATTTTTAATAAAATTTCTCGATATATGTTCCTCATCCGATGGTGTATACATGTTGATTATTTTGATTATTTGTGGTATACTATAGAATTCAATTGTTTTGGAATTAGATTTAGAACAAAACAAAAAAACTCAACACAAATACACTTACGATAATGATTGTGTTGTGAATACAATCGCTGGTATTTGTTTTTCCGTTTTGGTTGAAATCAACAATTTGGTAGCCTGCAATATTGGATCCATTTGTGATTTAACCTCGTCCCAATTCATGATTTTATTTTCACGTAAAAATTGTTCAAACAATGATACATTGTAAATGATTTCAATGGCACGTTCATTTGTACATAAATCTTTACGCATCATTAGATTATTTAAAGCGGTCATTCCAATAAAATAGAAAATCTAAATGAAAAAAAAATTGATTGTTGTGTGACAAATAATAACAAAAAATATCACGTGATTTACCTGTTTGAAAAATTGATAGATAAAATGTTCATCTAAACGATGTAGCCGAAATATTGCCTGCATATTAGATAGCTCTTTAAACAGTGTATGAATTTCACGTTCCGTTGGTGATGGTGGCCCAGAATCTGGATCAGAATTTTCATCACGTCTTTTGATAATGGAAATTTCAAGAATTAAAACAAAAAAAAAAAAAAGACTAGCTTGAAACACTCACTTTTGTCTCAATGACATTCCAGACAATTCTTGATGTTCCAATATAGCGGCTACAGTTAATGATAGAATTCTATCTTCAAAAATTTTGATTATTTCTGCAGAAAAAAAAGAATAACGGGAAAAAAAATTTAAACAAAAAAAATTCAAAATTCAATTTCAATTATATACCACTTACTAAAATACATATAGACCATTAATTCATTTAGATATTTAATGTATTCAGTTAGATCAAAATTTTTCAATGATTGAACATAATCACGATCATAATCAGATTCAATTGCTTCATCTGTTTCATTTGGTTCACAATCGGCATCAATAGTTTGACCACCATTAATAGTTTTTGTTTTTTTCTGTTCTTTATTTTCATCATTAAAACCAGAATCAATATTGTCCATTGTTTTTGTTTGTGAATTTTTTGTTTGTTCCGCATCTTGTTCGGCCACTTCAAAGTAGTATTCTAATTATTTATAATTACAATGGAATGGAAACAAAAAAAAAAGAATTATTATCCATCAAATTTGCATTTGTTTGTTTGTTTGTTTGTTCATTTCATTCACCTGAATAGTATTTAATTAAAATGGCAATTTTAAACGTTGTCGACAATAAATGGACTAGAATTTCTGTTTGATTTTTCGATGCTGCTAATGATGATTTTTTCTTGATCCATGTAATCACATTGAACATAAAATCTTGTGCCTATGAAAAATGAAATTTTTTTTTTTTTAATGAAGAAAAAAAAAAATTCATAACATTCATTCATTTCATTTCAGAAAACAAACCATTTTTTCATAATCAATCTTATCGGCATAACGAACACACATATAGATAATGAATGCAATCGTATGTGAATGACATTGACTTGCATAATTCATATTGGTTGGATCAAAGTCTTTTTTTTGGGGGGGTGAGGAGGTGGAATAAATAAAAAAGTCAAGAAAAAAAATAAGAAAAAAAATACATTTGTAGATCGTTTTGTTTTCGTTTCAAATCAAATGAATAATAAAATTTCGATCCAATCAATGTTAAAAATGAAAATTTTTATACCATAAAACAGGATTCGATTTATCATTGAACTATCTTTGGCAAAAAATTTAAACATTCCAAGTAAACTTTTCGTCTCATCACAATTATAATCAACGTTTGTATTGATAGCTAAATTATTTCCATCCATATTTGAATGACCAGGTACGATTGACGACGACAACAATAGTGGTTTATTTGAATATTTCAAGTATAAATTTTGATTACTATTTAGATCAATCAACGAAAAAAAATAAGAAATTAGTTTTCACATGAAATGCATTTTCAATTCAAACTTTGAACTTACTTTAATTTTCGTATCATTTCATCTTTAATGGCAATTTGTTCATCCAATTTGGCAAATAAATTTTTATATGTAGCGACTAGATCTTCTTGGTGTTTGGCTTTTTGATTCGGTTCACCATTGAATGTAGTAAGATGATCTTCCATCAATATTACACGTTTAAGATCGGCACGTTCTTTTTTATAACGAACCAATTCATTCTGTAGTTCTTCAAATTGTTCCGATAATAATGATGCAGCAGCGGTTGGAACTTTATCATCAATCGTTTTTGCTATTTGTTCACGTAGTTTTTGATTTTCAATCAACAATTTTTTCATCTCTTGTTCCAATTCTGTACATTGCATCATGATTGAAATACGATCCAGATTGGAATCAAAATCTTCTTGTCTATCGGATTGCAATGAATTTGTATTGGTTTCTTCATCGCCATTAAAACGATTCAACAATCGTTGATTGACAGATCGTTGCTGTTCAACTGTTGCTATCTGTTTCCCTTCAAGATCCATATATCTGGATAACAGCTGTTGTTTTGATGTTTTCTCCTCTTCACATTGGGCAATCAAAATTCGTCGTTCACGTTCAAATTCTTCACGAAGTTCATGTTCACGTTTTTGGATTGCTTCATCAATTTTTTCAATATTATCAGCCATTTGTTTTTTATCATTTAGAGTTTCACGAATTCTTTCTTCCAATTCAGATTTTGTCTCCTCCAAGCGTAAAACTTTTTGTTCCAATTCTTTATTCACTGTAATCAATTTTTCAATTTGTGATTGATAATTTTGTGCCTGTAAATGATCTTGACGTTGTCGTGTTTTTATTTCGGTCAATTCCATTCCCATTTGTTCCATTTCATGACGTAAAGTAGTGTAACGACCTTCAGTCAATTTTAATAATCGATTTTCTTCAATCAAATCATCAATACGTTCCTGTAAGGTCATAATCTTTTTCTCCAGGCCTTTATTGAGATTTGTAACATGTTCAACACTACGTGCTTCGATTCGTAATCGACGATATTCTTTTTTGGCCAAAAATCTTCTCACACAAGATTGAGCAATGATAATCTTTTTTCTTGTGTCTCGGTACTGTTTTTGTACCCAATAACCACGCCAATATCGTTGTATGGTGATAGCGGCACGATTCTGGCGCATATTTTCATAACGTTTACGTGCCAAATATGCACGTCCTCTAGTTTGTAAAGCCATAATACTTTTTCGTATAGTTTGATAACGACATTGTTGAACATTTCTTCGCCAATGTTTCTGTATAATGGTGGCCGCTTTAGTTTGACGAAGATGTTGATAATATCGTCGTGCAAGCCAACCACGGCCATATTTTTGTATGGCAACCGCAGCTTGTCGTATACGTTGATAACGTTTTCGTTGTAACCAACCACGAATCATTTTCTGTATAAGTATGGAACATTCTCTAAGTTTCTGTGATCGTATCCTTTCCAACAGAGCCACCTGACCAGGTCGAAAAAATATTTTTGTCTTACCAAATTGATATGGTTTTCTTTCTTGTTGTTGTTGTTGTTGTTGTTGCTCTGTAGTTGTTTTTTGTTGTTCATTTGAACTATCACTTAGATTGAAATGCGAATAGATTTTATCCTCTGTATAAGTGAAATGGAAAAAATTGCAAGTCATTCAAAAAATGATGATTCGAATCAACAACAAACTTACCATAAACAATTTTTACGATATCTTCACAAATGGCACGAATTTCAACAGCAAAACTAGAACCGGCACGTACTAATTTTCTTGGCGTTGGTTTTGGTACATTTTTTGCATCAGTCGATTTTGTTTTAGTCGGCGTAGTAATGGCATGACAGCAACCAACACGTAATACACGATAACGATTTGCAAAATCCTGATATGACCATCTTGATGGATAACCATTTGAACTGATACGAATGGTTTCCAATACACCACATGCACGTAATTGTTGTACAGCACGTATATTATTAAATTCAAATGCTGCTTTATTATCATTTGGTTTTATACAACGAACATAATGTGGTTCAGTGGAATTAAGAATCTTCATCAATGCTTCCAATGATTCACGGAATTGAAATCCAATTGTTGCTTTGGCTTTCTTTTTCTGTCGTCGTTGATCAGATTGTGGCATACTAACACGTATCTTACCACCAGCACCTTTGGTTGATGGTGGTGTTTGTACAATTTTATCATCCATAAATAAACATTCAACAACCGATGAACGTTTAAGTAGATCAATCTGTTCTTCCCATATTGTGTCACGATTTTTTTCTAGAAAACCATCAACATTATATGTAACAACATCGGCAAAATGTTCAATAATAAATGATGTTTGAAAATTAAATTTTGGTTTTTTAAAAACATCGCCAACAGTAATTTGTTTATATAGTTTTGAACACCATGTACGATCATTACCTTGTGGCATACGACATTCTTCATCTAGTAAACATAAAATACCGATTGGTTTTGATTCAATCAGATCAATTACTGGTTGATTATCGGTGAATGTAATAAATTGCCAATCAATACCTTCACGTACATATTCATCTTGTTCTAATTTGAATACATGCCAATTAAATTGTTGTTGTAGTACTTCATTAGCATAATTGATACAAAATTGTTCAAATGAATTATTTTCAAAATGTTCAAAACCATAAATATCCAATACACCAATGAATTGATATTCTTTCATTGATTGTTGTGTTGATATTGGTCCCAATGATTGATTGATCATCGATACAATCCATAGGAATAATTTTTCATAAATAAATTTCAATAATGCTTCCAAACCATATTGTGCCATTTGTGCATTCAATGGTGTTGCAATTATTTCATGGCCACCGGTTTTCAACAGACGACTAGTGAACCATTTCAATGTTGATGATTCATTCAAATCTAATAGACGACAAAATGTTTGCAATGAATCCAATGATTCACGATTAGCCAATGTACAGCTTTCATCATCATCTTGTTGTCTACGTTGAAACATAATATTACCACCATGCAATATGGCAGCAATTACAGCGAATAATTTATCACGTTGTTTCGCGCTAAAACCAAGTGTATCTAATGCTTCTAAAAATCTTGTCATATCATCATATGCGGTTGGTTCATTTGAACCAAGATAAACAAATTGTCGTTGATCATTCGATAATCCAAGATAATCTAATCGGTTCTGGTTGGCATATGAACATAGCTGATAGAAAATGTGAAAATTTCTTTCACCAACACCTTGATAAGTGACACGTGATTTTTCCAATAAATATGTACGCATATTACCGCCCATTATATGACGATTACGACGATCAAACAATATTTGAATGTATTTACCGAATCTCGATGAATTATCATTACGAACGGTTTTTGCATTACCAATTGCTTCCATTATTGGATTCGATGCCAGTACACGTGTTTCGATATTGGAATCTGAACCAGCTATGGATGCAAAATAACGCATGGCAAATTTTGCCGACACTGTTTTACCTGCACCACTTTCGCCAGACACAATAACCGATTGATTAATATTATTACGTTCTAATTTAGTGAATGCATCTTCAGCGACGGCATAAATATGTGGATCCATTTGTGCTAGATTCGCCAGATTCGTATGATACATTTGTATCGTATCTTCGCCATATATTTCGAGATCAGTAAACGGATTGATGGCAACCAATACAATACCACACCATGTGTAGATTTGTTGATGTTTTAAAAAACGTATCCTCAAATTATAAAGTACAGATGGTTCATGTAAATACGAAAGACATGTTAAATCATTCGATCCAATCAGTATGTCTGGATTTCTTAATGGTGGCAGATCTTTTAGTAAATCTTTTATTGTCAATGTTTTTTCTTTGAAATTTTCATCATCCTTATCATCCACATCCGCATCAATTTTATTATCACCATATCCACCATCATTACCATAATATGGTATCAATAATAAATGACCAGAATTTTTATCAAAATTTTCTTTTATCTCAGCACAATACCAAACATCGGTTGGATGTTTGATCCAAACACGTGTTCCCTTTGTAATATGAACAAAACAAAATTTAAAATTACCCGTTAAATATCAAAAAAAAAATAACACATACCTTTGTATAAAGCTCAGGATACACGGTTGTTCCCATTTTTTTGATTCGTTTCGTATCAATCAATAAATTGTTTTACACCACCAATAGCAATGTTTTTTGTTGTTGTTGTTGTTGTTGAATTTAATGTTCGAATTGAATCTGTCAAATAAAATGAAAAATTATTATGAAATCAAACAAACACACACACACACACGCACAAATCATTAGAAAAAAACAAAAAAAAATTAGGTCGATTAAAACTAAATCAAATCGACGACCACAACGATTTTTGTTACATAAAACGGATGCTGAAACAAGTAATCAATGAATAGAAGAAAAAAAATGAAGTGAAAGAGATAAAGCCAACACTCACACACACAAACATCATTTTCAATGAAAAACAAAAAAAAAAAAAAATCAAAAATATCGACATGGAATTATTTCAGTGGCGCTGACACACACATGTTTGTGTGGGTGTCTTTTTCATCATTATCAAGCGACACAACAACAACAACAACAACAACAAAAACGAAATCGTAAAGGAAATTGTTATTCAGACAACTAAAAGAAACAAAAAATGTTTCGTATTCATAATGAGATTATTGTTTGTGTTTTTTTTCAATGGATATAACAATTAATTATCATTTTTACAATATAAAAGCACAAGAGCAATACAAACACAACACAACGCACGCACGCACACACACTTGAAAAAAAAACAACAAACAGAATTTTCATGGATAATAATGTGGTTTTTAGATAATGATGTAATTATGTAAAATAAAAATAGGGTTGCTGATGAAACAATTCGTAAAAGATCAATGGAATGGAACAAAACAAAAAAAAACCTTTCTCACACATTGAAATGTCAGTAGAAAGAATTGTTCATGATTCATTGTCAGTTTGTAATGATAAAAAAAATCTGTTTTTTACATTTTAAAAAATATGTGTTTGTGAGTGTTGAATTTAATTTCGTCCTATGAATATGTGTGTGTGCGTGTAGCAGTAGCAGTAGCAAATCATCAGGTTTGCATTTGTTTTTTATTTTCATCATTCATTGATCGAATTTTTTTTTGTTTTCATGAAAAATCAATTTCGATTACAAATAATGGGAAAAAAATTGGACAATTAACACCTCTACACACACACACACAATGTTTAATAGGTAGAAACAATAAAAAAATCACACGCACATCATCATTGATTAATTAATCTACATTTCATCGATTGATTGATTTCAATTAATCGATAATGTGAATTTTAATCAAGCACATATTGATTTGAGAAAAAAAGCTGAAAATTGAAAAAAAACATTCTCACCCCAATAGCCAAGAGAAAAATTCCAATTTGTAAGAATACAAAAATCTTTGACAACAACAATTTACAACAAAAAAAAACACATGGACGAATGACATAATCATCATCATCATAATCGTTGTAGGTTGTCATAAACCAATGGATAGGTTAATGATCTTGATTTTTTCTTTCTACCATACAACCACTATTATTATTATCATCATCATCATCATTATTTACCATATAAAATACAATGCATTTCTATTTCTATTTGGTTATTACCTTTGAACATCGTTGATGATTATCATTATCGTGTGCATGTGGAGGTGAACCCACCTCACCTCACCTAACCTAACCTCACCTCTCACTCAAAATCATCATCATACATTGAATGATTGTTATATCTTCTTCTTTTTTTTGCGAATGAAATAAAAATCCGTCGTTTTTCATTTTTTTTTGTCGATTGTCGTTTGTTTGAATGATAAAGCGATTATTTTTAGCATCCAAAAAAAAAAAACTGAATGTTTGTACATTCGATGGTTCAATCTTTATTTATTTATATTCATATATGAAAACCATGAATAAAGACATATATCTCAAATCATCAAATTTCAAGAAAGAGAACGAAAAAAACGACAACATAAATTTTTTTTTTTTGGTTCATTTTTGTTTTCTCGCTGAAAAAAAAATAATTCATTCATTCAGCTAAAAAGGAATGTAAGTTATATATGTGATAAACATAGGCAAAACAAAACATGATATTCAAGTTTTGAAGAAAAAAAACAAACACAATGAAATGAATTCTATAGAACGAAAAAAAAAATTAATAATGATGATGATCATGACTATGGAATTAGTAATTAAAAAATTCATGAAATTCATTTTCTCCAACCATTCTACCTTGAAATAAAAGAAAACCGGTCTATTTTTTGAATCAAATTTTTGATAGTTCCATCATTTGCGTGTGGATAATAACACCATCATCATCACACCATCAAGATGTTAGATAATGATACTCACGTGATCATTATCATCATTATTCAATCCATGTGTAAATGTCATCAAACATTTGAAAGGATAAAAAACAGACGAAACACCACAGGTGGTTGTTGCTGTTGCCACCATAATAATTATATAATGATATAGTGAGGTGCCTAAAGGGAGAAAGAAATACAAAAAATTTCCGGAAAAACTGAAAAAATACCATTACGGAAACTATATCAAAAAAAAAAAAAAAATTTCTTATCATCATCATCATCATGCAACTATACAGTGAACACCAGTTTTCAAATAAAATCAAATTTTCCATTCGACAAACAAAACGATTATAAAATGATATGGATGAATTTTTTCTTTTGAACAAAAAAAAAAAAAACAAAACATCCATCCATTCAAATGAATGATTTGGGTGAATGAAAAAAAAGCGAAACAAAATGGAATTGAAAGTAGAGAGAAAAAAAAATCATTTCATTTTCAATCGATCAATTATATGGACATTATCATCATCATCATCCATAATCATTCATTCATTCATTCATTCAAACCATTCTATGGAAAAGAAACTTTCATTTAACACACGCAAACCACAAAAGAGAAAAGAAACAATTTTTTTTTTGATGAATGAAACATTGAATTTGAAAAACAACAACAACAAAGAACAACATCATCATCATCAAATATGAGAACAAAGGTAAAAATTGGAACAAAAGTTTTCCACTGAACTTCCGATTTTTCATTTCTATTCTCTATACTATAGAGTCTATAGCATCAAATTGGACACACGAACACACGCACGCACACACAAAATGGAGATATATTATATAAACGTGTGTTATAATAGTGCAAATAATCATAAAAAAATGAAAATTTCTCATTATCTTTCTCAATCAAACGCACAAACACACACACACACACACACACGAGCTACTGTGGATTTATATTTTGGAGAAATACGAAATGAAAATCAAATCAACATGTGTGTGTGTGTATGTGTGTTGAACACTTGGTTTCATTTAAAAAAAACCGGTGAAAAAAGAAAGATAAAATCCCAGTTTTTTTTCAATTTCAATTGAAAAAAAATTAAATTTCTATTTTTAAACATTTTAGAAAATGGAAAAAAAAAATTTTTGATCATGATGATGACCAATGTTTTTTCATTTCATTTTCTCATCATTGGAATGGCTTCATTTTTTTTTCTTTCGTCATTGAATGGTAAAATTTTTCAATGGCCAAGTAAAACACGAAAATAAAAAGGGCAAACAATAACGGAAAATTGAATGGAATTTTAAAATTCAATATATATACATGAACCTTGAACCATGATTTAAATGATCAAAATCACAAAAAAAACAAGAAGAAAAATTCATGATTCAAAACAAGTTGTGTGTGTGTGTGTGGACAATAAAAAAAAAAACACAGGTGTATTTATTCATCATGGACAAAAAAAAAATTGATGTTTTACTTCATGTTGATCGGGATATATTGTGTTGTTTTTTTTTACTTTTCAATTTTTATTTCAAATCATCAAAATAACAAAACGTTATCCATGTCTACACAACAACAGCAACAACAACAAAACATCATCCTCATCACATCATCAATAAACAATTTAAATGAACGAATCTAGGCTATTGTATCACATAAATACAATATTTTTCAATCCCAACCTGACCACATTCTCATTAATTAGGTCGCAAAATAAGGTAAAAAAAGCCACCGATCATCACATGAAAGAAATGAATGGATTATCTTCATCTCGCGAATGGGCGAAACAAAAAACAATAGGAAGGTGGTGGTGGTGAAATCAGTTTTTTTAAAGAGAAAAAATAACACTAAATAAACATCAAGAATAGTCAAAGAAGAAAAAAAAAAATGGAAGGAAAATTATAATAATAATATCGATAGTTGAATATCGATAAAAATCGATTTTTGAATTCGAAAACAATGAACTATTGTGACCAAAAAAAAAAAATTGATCCTATTGATTGATATCTAATCATTGCTATGTGAATGTGAATCAACGGACAATAGCAAAAAAATTAAAAAATCCCGGTCATCATCGATATATAAACAACAATGGTGATAATAATAACCGGAGAGGCCTACCAACACCACCATCAAACAAAATCATCGACAACAACAAACAAAGTGAATGAATGGTCAGGGATAAAAACCGTATGAATGAATTATCAATGAGAAAAAAAATACCATGAATTTCAATGATGGTCGAAAAAAAGAAAAAAAAAAAATGGCCATGCATGATCGGCTACCAACATAAATAAACACGAAAGAAAATATTTTATTCACACACACACACACACATACATGTAAGCACATTTAGACATAACCATAAAGATTGATAATGATTATTATTATGTGATAACCATGAAAATACTATTGGACTTCTCTCTCTCTCACAGAAATACCAATGACCCATACATAAATATAAAAACATTCGAATCTGATCATCATTGGAAATGTAAAAAAAAAGACAACGAAATGCAAATCTTGGCCTCTCATATTCAAGTTATATCTATGGTTGAATGGATTGCATGCAATGCTCAAATTATTATCATCATCATTATCATCAACATCATGAAGATGATCATCATCATCATCATCATCCAAGTTCAGAACAACAAAAAAGACCATCCATTTTTTTCCATCATCAACGATATTATTATGATTATGATGATTGTCGAAACACAATTCACAAACTGAAAATATAACGATATAATATATGAATGGTGTAAATGTCATATGGAAATGGTTGTTCATCATGATGAATGGTAAGATATTTAAAAAACACAAAGACCTAGGTCAAACACA